ACTGCCGCATACAGGTTTTATTGCGACATGTATTTAACACGGTAGTAGGAGTTGCGATTGCGCCATAATTTGAACTTCCGTGCAGCGATTGTTTGGTGGCAGCAATGAATTCGGCCCGCACTCTATCTGGAATCTTTGTATTTGGCACGTAGTTGCTCTAGAAAACTTTTCTCACTTCTGGTTTGCCGTTAGACAACATATTACGCCAGTATAGCTCACACCTAGAGCAGATATAATCAATCAATGCATTCATTTCAAATCTTACCATGAACACAAATTTATTCTTGTTTATATATTAACATGTTAAATCGTAAACTTTTTTATGAGTTCAGAAGAAAACGAAAGTTTGCATTTGCTACTTCTTCTACTGCTTCAAAAGATGATTAAATTGGATGGAATGACTTTTGGAGCCATTACAACGGTTCTTCTAAATTACCTTAATTTAAGTCTATTAGCTTACTGCTAAAAAGAGGAGTTGAATAAACATCAATGCCTTTGTAGATTAAATGAATGCGTTATTCAGAAGTTTTAAATGAGTAGGCGATCATTAATAACAAAAATTTACTAATTACTGACTTATTATAGTTCCACTTGTCGATATACAATATACGCAATTAAAAAAATGGAATAAGATCTGATAAATAGTCAATAATCCCTTTTCTAAAGTTTTCAAACACGCAAGAGTAGTGAAAATACTTTTAGTTATTTAAATAATGCTTTGAAACATATATTCTTGGCGAATAAGCAGTATCTCGATTACACGTTGCTGGTAAATTATTTTAGCAATATTTTTCTTTTAATATAGAAAGAATTTATTTTATTCGAGCACACAGTTTCACTGATCAGTTTTAGGATGGAAATGAAAACTTGAAAAAAAAAAACATAGTTTAAATTTATTCTTATTTTATCTTTCTCTTCCGGTTACAAACATTGACGTAAATTCGTTACCAAGTTTGTTTCAATCAATAATTAATTTATTTTGTTTAAGGTTTTTACCTCTTCGCATTTCTATTGACAATTGACGCACCACCTTCCAGCTCTTCTCTCTGTACAAAAAAGTTGAAAATTTTATACCTCTGGTATACATCAGTGACCACCGCGTTGACAATAATTAACAACCGATAAATAGCATCTATAAATTTCACGCATTGGTTTTGGTTTTCAGATATTTCTCGTCGTTGGGACGTAGAAACGTCATTGGAACTTTGAATGAAACAAGTAAAAAAAAAACGAATGAGAAGCAATACGAAATATTAGCATTAGCGATTGAGTTGATTAAAAGAGCCTGGGAATGGATTAAATTTAATTTGTTCAATATTTCAAAAAGTGACGGAAAAGTTGAAAACTCAATTTTCAACAATCTAGAATATTTATAGTTGTTTTAATATAAGTTAATTTATTATGAGGCGTTAAATTAAATGGTAGAATAACTCTGGAAATGAGGTTCCAATATCTTTGCATCTATGTATATTTGCACCCGACCAATTTTTTCGAAATTTTCAGTGGTTTAAGATTGTATAATTGTATATTTCGCTAAAAGATCATTATTTCTTATTTTTCAAACATTTTTGGAGCCTCCATTGAATTCTTTTTTTGTGCGGTGCCGTGCGCAGATCCGATACGGTACCGCAAGGCCACTGTGACAGATTGCATACCCAGACCATTTTCGTTCTCATGTATATATTTGATAATCGCTCTCTTGTTATTATTAGATACGAATTGACCTATGCATCGTTGTGTTATTTTGTTGTTGTTGATCTCCTTGCTAGTAGTTCCTTTATTCTTCTTATTGTTGTGAAAAAGATCACTTTTCTCATTAACTGCTGGATCAATTGCTTTGCAGTTTTTAGTGACTAAAGATTGTATTTTTTGCTAGAGAGCTATCGCTTTAATTTGTTCCTAAATTTTCTATGAATCTTACGAGATCTGATATTTAATCCAAATTTCGCTACATTTTTATTTTTCATGGAACCACGGTTTCAATTTGTCAAGCGTGACGTCTGTTTACGACGCTACATAAAAAACTCCGAGCACGTTTTTAAATTGATACCGGAGGGAGGGTACGGAACGAAAAGTACTTTGTTGAAAATGCAGCCCGCGAACGAATGAAACCATTTACTCAAAACTTAAATTGCAACTCAAAAACAAAGGAGCTGATTTCAATTATTTCCGCCTCACATTTGAGGAAAGTACAAAGTCTTGTCTGTAATAGTAAATAAAACACTGTCGCATACACGTTTTATTGGGACAGACGTTTAACACAGAGTTGCGATCGCGCCATAATTTAAACTTCAATGCAGCGATTGTTTGGTGGCGGAAACGAATTTGGCTGGCACGCTATCTGAAAATTGTATATTTTGCCCGGTAGTACACAATGTTTGCCAACCATTGCTTTAGAAAAATTCTACCAATTCTGGTTTTGCCGTTAGACCACAGAGTACGTCGATATAGCTCACACCTAAAGCACATATAATCAATCAATAAAAATCATTTCAAATCTTACTATGATCACAAATTTATTCTTGTTTATATATTAACATGTTAAATCATAAACTTCCTATGAGTTCAGAAGAAAACGAAAGTTCAGCAGAAAACTCATAGATTGAGAAGAGTTAATATTTTGAGTGTTGGAATACCATCGCATTTGTTACTTCTTCTACAGCTTCAAAAGATGATTAAATTCAAGGGAATGACTTTTGGGGGCCATTACAATCTATTCTTCCGATTCCAACAATTTAGGAATATCAGCTTACTGCTAAAAATAGGATTATCAATTGAATAAACATCAATGACTTTGTAGATTAAATGACCGCGTTTTTCAGAAGTTTAAAATGAGTAAATAATCATAAACAAAATAATAAGTCTAATTACTGACTTATTATAGTTCCACTTCTCGATATACAAGATACTCAATTAAAAAAAAGGTATAAGGTGGGGTAAATAGTCAAAACGACTTTTTCTATAAAGTTTTTAAACACGCAAGAGTAGTGATAATACTTCTAGTTAATCAAATAATGCTTTGGAACATATCTTCTTTGTGAATGATGTCATGATGACCAGAATCTCGGTTGCACGTTGCTGGTAAATTAATTCAGCATGAGTTTTTATCTAATATTGGAGAATTTTTTTTATTCTATTCAAGCACACAATTTCACTGATCAGTTTTTGGCTGGAAATGAAAATTAAAAAAAAAAACATCAAGTTTAAATCTGTTTTTATATTATCTTTCTCTTCCAGTTACAAACATTGAACATTGAATTTCGTAAGCAAATTTGTTTTAATCAGTAATCAAGAAGTAAATGAGGACCCCTTGTAACCCCTTTGCACATCTCTTGGCAATTGACGCACCACCTTCCAGCTCTTCTCTCTGTACAAAAAAGTTGTAAATTTTATACTTCTGGTATACATCAGTGACCACCGCGTCAACAATAATTTTTCACCGATAAATAACATCTATAAATATCAAGTATTGGTTTTGATTTTCAGATTTTTCTCGTTACCAGGACGTAGAAAGGTTATTGGCACTTTGAATAAAACAAGTAAGAAAAAAAAAACGGATGAGAAGCAATGCGAAATATTGGAATTTGCGATTAAGCTGATAAAAAAAGCCTTGAAATGGATTAACTTTAATTTTTCAAAATATTTCAAAAAGTGACGGAAAAGTGGAAAACTCAATTTTCAACAATCTAGAATATTTTATAGTTGTTTCAATATAATTTAATTTATTATGAGGCGTTTAGCACATTCATTGCAATCTAGGCAGCGAGAAACTGATTATAGCTGTATGCTATTTATGAAAGAAAGGGAATCTTTCCGGTTATGGACTTACAAAGTACAAACACATAGAGGATATACAGACAATGTTATTGGGCTGAACTGTTGCCGTTTATTGAACTTGTGTTACTATAATAGTATTCAATCTGACCGTTCGCAATTTGGCTCGTCCAGTAGACCTAATTATATCATTTGGATATAACTGTACTGTTCAACGATATATCTAAAGCACACTTCTCACTTTTCATCGTTTAAAATGGTTGCAAGCGAAAATTGGATCTCGCTAATTTTAATAATTTTCAATAACCTGCAGACAATGTTTATTTGAAATTTGTACTTAAACTTACTCCAGACACCACGGAATGAATTTTTTCTGTGCTTATAATTATTCTTAAACCCAGCACATCCAATTTTGAACCCATTTCCGTCTTTCTCACATAACTTGAACTTTTTACAAAAAGCAAGATTCCGTTTCTAAAAAAAACGTGTGACCAATGTGATTAAAAAGTACAATTTTAATTTAAGATATATTATATTTCTTATTATAAAAAATCGAAGCTTGAAATAAAGGAAAACTTCAGAATGTACTCTATGCTTTCCGCTTAGTAGGGCTAACAACACAATAATCGCATAACTTCGTTAAATTGTGCATAGAATTTGGAGCACTTCCATGCAACAGAAAATTTCACAAATTGGTATTTTCGGAAAATATAGTCATGAATTGGGGTGCTGTCTTTGAGGCTATATATTATGTTGTACAAACCGTCAGTTTTTTCATAATCATGCTCAAAATCATCCTCGAATATGGCTTCAGAAAAGTCTGGTTCAAAGTCTGCGTCGTCTTCAAAATCGGTGTCAATCTCCGCTTCAATATTTTTTTCATCCAGAAAATTTCGAAGATATTCTTTCTCGAGATTTTCATCAAAATCTTTCTTGTAGTCAAATTCTTCAAACTGTAGAGCATCTGAAATGTTTTATTCATATTGCATTCCATAGAAAAGTAACAAAACAACAATTAAAAAAGTTTGATTTGTTCCAACTGAAATGCAATAGATAATATGACATACAACTTACTTGCTATTATGCAGCAATAAAGAAGCACAACAGGTGTAATCCTCATTTTCTGCAGCTTTTGTATTAACTACAATCTCAATGAAATAGAAAAAAAAATCTGGTAATATTCAAAAAGTGTTATGCCAAGTGATCAATACAAAGGAATTACCAAAGTTTTAATAAATCTATACCTACTATCATAGAAATATACATCGAAACTAAATTCTACCAGTACTATTTGACAAGCTACTAAAAGGAAGTAATTCCGCATCAAAAATAACCAATTCGGCTCAAAGGTATAGAGTAATATAATTCAGAATTCTGAGTTACGTGCAATTTAACTAGATACGACAATTAATTTTTAAATATCGCAGTTATTTCAGACAGTTTGACTGTTGGGCTACTTCCAATGAATAATCTTTCAAGATTGGGAATGGTCGGAACTGATATTTTCGATTTATATTCCAGATTACAACTCTAACCCGACTGCGCAATAATTTAATCTGTGCTCCGCATAATGTTTCGTTGAACATCTATTACCCCCGAAGAGGTTGATCATACGTCCCGATTTAGCTGGGAAAGTCTCGATTTCAACAAGCTGCCCGGTCGTCCCACCCGGTAGACTTAAATGTCCCATTAATATATAATATACAGTATGGCAGTCATAAATGTTTTCTTTTGTTAACTATCAATACAAATATTTTTATGGCAATGGAACCATTCAATTTATCTCCACTAGTTCCACAAGAGAGGCAGAGGGACTACTATATTGTTTTGTCATAATTGTTGTATATTTGATACATCATTTTAACATCTCGCGTTAGCTTTACTATCGTTAGGTTATTCAAAATGTCGAAAAGAAAGTGCACGTTTCCAGTCAACCAGTATCACTAAGCCTACGAACGCACTGAACCGGTTTTTGTTTCATATATATATATATATACGAGATGGTAAGCCTGAATAAACTTTTTCTTTTATGTCATTTCCTCAAAACATTAACTGTTCCAATCTATGCGTGTGGATCATTTCGATGTAAAAGTTTCTCTGTTGAACTGAAAAACCTGGATATACTCGTGACTATGTTGCGATATCTTTATTGTTCAGAGAGAGGGGTTTTAATATTTTTACATTTTGTTTTTTAGCGCTTTCCGTAGACACAATAATAAGTAACATAAAGCAGGGGCGTCGGAAGCTGAAGCCGGCATTGGAAGTTGGATTCGTGCAGTAAATCACATTCAATAGCCCATTGTCGGCATCGACTTCCTGCGTAGTTATTAGAATTTATTCGTTTGACAGTTGTGACAAGCTTCCGTAATATTTTATGATGTTTTGACGTTTTGTTTTTGGTACCTTTTATAGACACAATGGTGAGTAACATATATATATGGCAGAGGCGCCAAAAGCTGAACCGGCAGTGCAAGTGGAATTCGTGCAGTAAATCACATTCAATAGCCCATTGTCGGCATCGACTTCCTGCGTAGTTATTAGAATTTATTCGTTTGACAGTTGTGACAACTTCCGCAAGAAAATTTCAAATACAACGTTAGCAAAGTAGTTATTAATTCAACGCGAGAGCGGGCAGTACAAACTGAGATTCATCCAACTGCCAACAGCTGATCACATTTTAATTGTTACGTCATCAAAAAAAAACGTGCAACTTTTGGAAATGGGAACAAAGTATTATTTGTTACTAAATTTCTAAGGAACATTTTAAAATTATTTTCAGGTAGTCCCTTTTGTGCGCTACGAAACTGAAAGATAAACGGCCTCGTCTCGCGGCCTAGATATTTAGTAAGAAGCTGTAACGAGTTAATGTAACAATTGGTGGAAGAGACTGTTTTTTTTTTCTAGTTTTTTGGCCTCTTGTGGATTACAGTTTACTTCGCGATTACGTTTAGGTATCTAGGACGGATAGTTAATTTTTTAACCATACCTTGCATAATGGAAACAGGATACATGATTGTGGTTTTCCAATGTACGTCATCGACTTTCTGTGTCATATGGAAGTCCACCAATCTCGTTGCTTATCGAGTGTCGGAAGCATATATGAATATACACAGAACCTGATCGAGTTCATTCTTCAAACCAGCGTTTCGCAAGGGGAATTTTGTTGTTTTGGGGGAGGAAATGGAGACATGATATTTTCTATTTGATGTATTTTTACTAATAACTGATTGAAAATCCTATCCTATCTTAGTATTGTCCAAGTATTTTGTAATTCATATTTATGCACACATTATCGAGTATTCAAATCGTGCAAAAGCCAGGCAGGGAGTTGTTCGTAGTACTAGCTCATGATCCTTGAGATATGCGAACAAATCGAAATAGAAAAGTCCGAGACAGAAAGATAGTAAAATGATCCAAAATAGGCAAAAGGAGGAGCGTATCGAAAAAAGTTGGAATCCGCGTACTGACATACTGGTCATCAGGATATCCAAATTTCTGCAATTGTTTATATTTCCAGGCCGACAGAATGTTTGTAAGTCAACAGAATAACAATATGCTCAATATTGTATGAGACTCTATATTGTATATCTATTTCCTATGATTGTTCTGATGCGCAATTCACAAAACGGAAACACCAATTTTATACGTTCAAAATATCAGCCAAGATACGAACAAAATTAATAATAATTTTGGAAAAAATCGATGTTTTGTCTTGATTGAGGATGTAATATATATATAATAAATACATTATTTGAAAATTTTGTTACATTGAGAAATTTATTACAATTAATTTTTTGATATGCAAATTGAATGTTTCGTTTGCTTTATCCTCAATAGAAGCTTTTGATAATTATTGCAGTTTTCCAAGAGAGGGTCCATTCGCACCCGCTTTCTTTCAAATAAATAATATATATAAGTCATATTCGCTGCAGGATACACAACGAACTACTGCTAAGGGCAAATAAATTTTTCACATCAACCGGACTGAGAACTGGTCGAGGAGGACATTGTGTTGCCTCGACTATTGATTTTTCGACACATCGGTTTTATTGCTCTTATCCATTCATCTCTTTCGTCGTCCGAAGAAGCCATGATGATATAAAGTGTTCCAACTGCTATCTTCACACAAAAAAGATGATCGGGTGGATGTCTCATCCGAAGAGCTGTACACGGATTAAACATAATGCAATATATAAAGGTAACTTTCCAATTAATTCAACATTTTGTAAAGGGTAAGATTTGCACATAAACCGAGATAATATGAGAACACTGTTACCTGCTTGAGCCGCCATTTTCCCTACTGTAAAAACCGAAGCACCATGAAGCGATAGACTATTCAATACTTTGGGATTCTTCTTAGATGGATCGAAGTATGATAATGTTGCAGGAAACCTCTGCAGAACGAAACATCGTGCTTTCCAATTTGGAACAACGTGTCCCTGTTATGAAACATGTAAAGAATACTATTACAAATGAGTGATGCAATCACACTCATATTACCGTCAATGTAAAGGTCCAACAGGGTTTTTCTCTGCTACACTGGTGGTTTTCCTACAGCATCACCTGCGCTTGAATCACACCGCGTTACTTCCGGACTTGAGTTCGACTAAGGAATGCGTTATTTGGTTTCATGATTTGTCATAGTAATATATCCTAGCTTTGCTTCTTACGTACTTAATGGTTCGAAACGCATTACCAAATCTAAGTTATATTCTATTTTCGCCATAAACCAAGAAGGTTAGCGTGAAAAACAAAAGTGATTCTCTAGGTCAATGTTAATTTTATGATATCGACGTAGTGAAAAAATTCATTGCACGTACATATTAAATTGTTTACACTTTAATATAACGTGCACCCAATTACCACGATGTGTAAGGTAAATAAAAAGAAAACAAATATGAAATCGACAGCATATTATGCATTTAGGTTAGATACACAGACATAAATAAACGCGATTGACTCAATAATAAATTGTCACATGGGAAATTCCGTGCCAATAGACAAACGTAACTGGCAATGAATATATCCATTTGTATTACATGCTCCTTATTCGGTCATCGATACCATGCAGAATACGACTCTTGCATAATCCAAAGACGGAAAACAGCACCGTATGGTTATACTATTACTTCCTTGATTAAAATGTGGAAGGCGCAAAAATTAAGCAATATTAATAATTAATAACATACATACGGGTATAAATATTTTTATTTATCATATCGTGTGTCTCGTAGATACATACCAACACCATTCGTCCCAATTTTTTCAGAAATGAAACTTCAGCAAGTATTTCCTTTTATGGATGCGTGTGAAAATTTGTAATATTTTGTGTTAAAAATTTTTAAGTAACGAAAATATTACAGATTATTATCATATGTTTTTTTCATATGTGTAGTTTTTGAAATGAAAAATTTGAATGTTGACAATTTCAAATTTGGTTTTGTTAGAAAAATCGTATATTCAAAAAAAATAATACAGAAATTGTATTAAATTATATTGTTGCACCGAATGTTGACAAAGAAAAACAGTTATTATGAATTGAACTGATTTGAAACAGCACGTTTTATTTCATACAACGCTATTTTAAGTTATATTACCTTTTTAAACAAAACTCCTCGTTTCACTATTTCTCCCGGAGGCATGTCTGCTGGTAAAATGGCGGTTGGGGAGAGAGCATCACTGGGAATTTCAGGTGGAAGAAAAACGTCTTCTGCTTGACTTTTTCTGTCTGATTCAGATGTTTCAGAAGCGGATTTATTTGCCCCGGCCATGACTTTTAGTGAGTCCTCATCACTGAGCTAAGGATGAATAAACATCGTATTGCATAATATAGATTGTATGAAAAAGACAAAATTTTGAAAATGAAGATCATACCAGAATATAATATTTCGATTCCGCAAATGGGTCAGTTCCTGTATCCCCGTCTAGCAGTTCCAGCAATCCAACTCTTTGTAAACCTGAAACAGTTATTTCAGCTTCGGAATCCAGTAATCCCATTGTATGTTCCATCCATACTCTGAGTCCAAGTCCTAAAATTTATAGGTTGGAAAACGGTTACTGATGTGGACACACGATATATAGTGATCAAGTTTGCTGTGCTTGTGGATTTTCGATATCGTAAACTTACTAACTTAGTTTTGCATTTTTACAATTTTGCAAGTGAACAATGTTGAGAGGCTCGTTTGGCTGAATTACACTCACGATCCAATGACCAATATTTTCAAATGTACAACTTTTCTTACCTGAAAATCCATCTGAACGTTTAACTCCCTTTATTGTCCTTGTTTCTCGTTTGATTCCTCCGTATGCATCGACATAACTTCCCAATATTTCAGAAGTGGACAGTTCTCTGGAATTATTCTCATGGCCGTAAGAACTTGATAAATATTTTGACTGCAGAAATGAAAATATACGAGTCAGCACACAAAAAATGTACACTATAGTGTGAGTTGCGTTTTTTTTTTTTTGAAAGACTTGGAATTAGGAATGAGCTATCCTATAATACTAATGGGATATTTTTTCAACAACTCAATTTTAAACTTATTTTCTGATGTGATGGTAGCACGACCGATGACGTAATCAGGTTGTAAAAAATGCTTCCAGAGTGTTCATTGCATTAACTCAAATTATTTCAATCAAATTACTTAATAACGTTTTTGAAGTATGATAATATGTACATATAAAACAGCAAGCAACATGCAATCAGAATCACCGTCTTGTTTATCACCAGTAACCAAAAAACATATATTCTTGTGTATAGGCGTAACATATAAAATTAATGATATTTTAATGTTATCGACTCTGACATATAAAATTAGACTTGGGTATAGTTATATAGATTGAGGCACAAATTGCATATTTGTCAAAAGCAGCCTTCACTGCTATACTTACTTCACTTTCTAATTGCATGTGTTCAATTACGTCACCTATACTTTCCATCCATGCTCTCATTTCGGAGTTCGATGGAGCTTGGATCGGATATTCAATTCCATCGCTTGTTTGTATTTGCATGACAAACTATGGGAATGGAAAAACGGAGTTGCATGAATTTGTAGCAATATCGCAACAAATATGAACGCAATAAAATAAATAATTTTATGGCGTGACACCTGTTTAAGAAGCTTTGAACAAGCACATACTGACCACGCATGTACTTTCTTTTATCTAGTATTTAAATTGAAAGATAATTTATAATATTGTGCTATTATGTGACGATCATAGCCGCATATATACCTACAATTGTTTATGTATTACTGACTATCTTACATATCTATTATGCAATTTAACTGTATTTCATGTATCCAAGCTACAAATAGATCAATTCTATTTACAACATGTTATGTCATATACCATAATTTAATTTTGTTTCACGTGCATTCTGGGATGTTATTCTTGTACATATGAGCAAAACGGAGAAAAATCATTTCTGAAACTATGTTATCAAATTTCCAATATTTTTATCTGAGCCATATACTTTTCGCTACGACATTCTTGAAACGTTTTTAAAAAAAAACAATTATTGTCGTAAAATCAGCTTTCCAACGTATTTATCAATTGAACACCAGAAGTTGGTATGAGTTGTGATGCCCTTTTCCAAGATATGAGTATATGGAAAGTGTTTTGCATTTTTCATTTAGGAGACAAAATTCTTTACCCTTCGCGCGACAGATCAACTGCGTATCTACGATATTTGGTGCGAGTACATAGTTACAATAACTCAGTATAATATATTCTTCAAACAAAATTCTTCGTAAAATTTATACATACACGCCAAATTAGCAAAATAACATATAAATCTCAATTATAATTTCGATACTATCCTATCAGTTCCCCACCGTCAATTTTACACTCAATTCTGATCTGCCTTATACTTGGATTCAGTCTATTTCGGGTTAAGATAGAGATGTGGGACAATGAACAAACTTAACTTATTCTAGACTAATTCAAAATGAACAGAATTAAAGAAAACAGATCATAATATTAATGGTGAGGCAATAACAGAAAACACGGTATTTCCAATATATGGCTGTTGGTTTACCTCACGATTGCTGTCGCTTTTATTGTCACTCTGATATATTGAAAGTTTTGCATTTCGCAAAGCAATTCTTCCATGTGGAACTTTATCCTTTTTACTCTTGTAATACCTCAATGATGTGTCCGATAACTTGAACCATCTAGTTTTCCAATTATGTCTAACGTGACCCTGACAAGAAAATATATTAACTTATTAACAGAGTTGATTGTTGGTTTCACTTCCATTGAACATTATATGGGAAATGATGGCATTCAGCGGCCATATGGTTTAAATTTTCATCTTTTACGAAATTTTTTACATACCAGAATCAACTAAAATTTCAAGAATTGTTTCTTCATTAACAGACGCATTAGAGCTGTTTTGTATATTTATTTTTATTTGCACCAAGGTCCCATTTTTGATTAATCTCGTATAATATGGAATGTTACCAATGATCTTACCCGCTTCACCATGAATCCTTCTTTTATGATGATACCGCTGTCTACAGTAGCTTGGATTTTACTTGACATTTTGTTTTTTATAAAAAGTGACAGAATATATACTGAATTAAATCCTTAATAATACATACTGGCAATAACTCGAATATGCTACAAATAGAAATGTCTAAATATGATCAAAACACAGTAATTTTTTAGTTATAAGTTTGAAATCCCGATACTTTAGCGGTGTTGTTATTGGTGTTCTGATTAACCTGATATCGAGAGTTCAGCAACACTTCAATGAGTGCTTCGTTTTCAATACTTTCGATGTACATGACGTCATATGCTTTGGTCGGACTTAAGAAGAGGGCGATGAGTAAGTTGAGCCGCTCAAGTTATCACTTCCGGAATTGTTTATCTTACAATGGAATATCGGCCAGGTGGGGGACATGGATAATCTAACACTGGAACGTGAAAACATCCATGTTCTAACACATGTGACATCGATATTCTCTCGTCATGCATTAGTCGGCCTGCTTGTATTGGTACAAAATTATTTCGCCGAAGATGCACGTAGAGCATAGGTATCAGGTGTGCATTTGAACCACAAAAAAGCAACCAGCAAACGATATACAGCTGTTACTGCCTAAAACAATTCCTTTTTCAAATTTTCTATTCATTAATATTTTTCTACTGTAATAACAGCCTGCTGCGCGGAAGTTTAATTCCTACCCAAAGTGTTTCAATCATTGTTCATTTCCTATAATAAGAAAATCCAGAGTAAATAAATTTTCTATCTTTCTAATTTCAAATAAACGATGTAGCCGATGCGTTGCACTGACTACACTAGTCTCAAAATTTCCATATAACACCACGCTTTTCTTACTGCTCAGTAAAAGACGCCACTGAATGATTATAATCAATTTATATATATATATATATATATATATATATTTGTTAAACTGAAACCGTGTATCTTGTGTTCCATAAACAAGTATTTGTAAATTTGTATGCAAGTTAAATTTAAAATTCACCGTAACGACTTAAATTTTGGATATTAAATCACGTCGTCGAATATTTGGCCATGAGTTCACGCGACCATCAAATTATTTTAAATTTGCTCTCATTTATCCTAGAATATTTTATTCGCCACGATGGCAATTTCCATTAATGTTATATTAATTTTCACATTTCTCGTGTAAATAAATGCTTCCCTGCCTTTCATTGTTCTTCGCTAAACATATTTGGAGTTGTCTCTGTATAGAGTAATGTATCAGAATACTGTCTTTGTGACCCATGACACAACATATTTGAATCACCAGTATAACGAAAGCGATTTGTACTGATGCCAGCAAAACTTAACTATTCATTCTTTTATTGATACCAAATTGATGATGCAAATGAGCATCACAACTTCGTTATTCATCGTGCGAATTTCGCAAATTATAAGGTAAAAACGCTACTTCAGCGATATAACTGATTTACAAGCAAAAGGCATATCGGAACACCAAGTTGCAATATTCTCATCGAAATGGAGCATCGCTAAAAGATAAAACTGACACAAGATTTAAAACTAATTTAAAATTTCGTATAGATCGATATGCCTTATTTGCTTGTTATGACGACAGAAAACGGAGTGCATGGAACATAGCCGTACATACCTTAAATAAAGTTTACGTCACTGAACGACTGATATATAAGATGTCTTGAATCAAATATTATTTACTAAAGCCATGTGTTCGCCGCCACCGGAAAATTATTATTCGCTGATTAGTAATTAACCGAAAAAATATATAGATTGCACTATCGATCCTGTTTTGAATCGATGTCATCATAAATTCACGCGCAGATAGGCTAATTTTGACAAGGATAAAGTGTGAATTCTTAGAAGGTTTGTTGTAAAATCTCGCTCAATTAACTACCAAACTATTAACTACAAAGTCCTCGGGTTACGAGACGTTGACCCCACGCTGTTTCGAGGTTAAGAACGCATTTCATAAAAATATAAAAGATAATACTGTAATATCGAAGCTCTTAAACTGGATCATTGTGATCAGGAAAATCAGTTCTTTGGGCTCATTGGTTTTCGTCATTTACATCGTAAATGACGTGGACAATTGAGAACTATTACGATTATGAACAAATAATCACTAGCCTCAGTCAACGCACACAACAGTTTAGTCAACTCGTCATAGAACTAAAATAAGGAAAATCGGAATAAAATCATGGCTTAACCGTAACCTGGTACACATGTATAATGTTCCGACTTACGCTGAAATTCGGGTTACACCACGTCTCAAGAACGGAACAACGCCGTAAGTCGAGGACTCCCTGTATGCTTTACCTTTCAAACATTCACCCCCATTGGTGGTAGTCTGACATGACCGCCATAGTGCGTTTCCATGAAGTTAGACATAAGTTAGAATGATTTGTAAACGCATAATATTACAGCGTATATAACATTGATTTCAGTGGCGGCGCGTGGTCATTTTGACAACCGGGGCAAGCTACTGCGAGACCAAGTCACCCCCATCTACGGGGACAGGATGAACGCTGTAAGCTCTCCCATCATTTTATGAGTATAAAAACCATTCCATCGGTAACAACCAATCGGCAAAAGCGACAATTTTTAACGATAAGAAAGTGTCTTTAAAACCGGTCCAAGTCAAGGGATTATTAAATATAGACATAGTTTATTTTGAAACCTCTTTCAAAAGGAAAGGCAATATTTACCCAGATAAATACAATGACATATTAACAGAAACTTCGGGAAAGCGGACAAAACCTAAAATTAGGTTTAAAACGTTACTATGAAGAAAGAAAAGTTAATGCAAAGATAAGGACATGCGTCGCTCACTCATAGACATATATGCTGCTAGACTTCTACTGCTTGAACATATATGCAACACGCCGCGGTTTCTTGGAAGCAAAATGCTCAATAACGCGCTGATTAAAGTCATGCATCCCAGAAATAACGTCTCTGTGAATGGATAAAACAGCCAAGGAATTTAATCTATCTTGCTTCATTGTGTTTCTGAGATACGTTTTAATACGCTTCAGCGTGCTGAATGTTCGCTCTGCGTCGGCGGAAGAAATAGGTGTCGTCAAAATGATGTCCAGAGATTTGGCAGACGCCGCAAAGGTAGTTACTTAACTGGAGAGTTATCTATGAGGAACCCATAGAGCGCGCAAGTTGATGTGATGTTCAAAAAAGTTTGATTGGTGTATATAACTGTATATACATCGCAATTCATTGTGTCGTCATAATTTCGGGGCTAGCCCCGATCGGCCCCGATGATTTAGTAAAAGAAACAGAAAACAAACGAGACAAACGCGACGAGTGGAAGATAAAAGAGAGAATACGATATACAATGAGCAACCGGGGCAAAATCGGCGTCGCCCCGTCGACGTTCGGCGAAGGCTTTGCGAGCGAAAAATGAACCATGTCGGGAGAATATGGCTAGTGTAGACAGTCTGTGCAACCGATATTGAGGTATTTTTCGAATATTTTTTATTATACCGAAAAAACAACCGGGGCATTGCCCCGGTTGGCCCTATTGACGCGCCGCCACTGATTGATTTGAATATATGTGTTGAAGAATTGGGCGCCTCGATGACAATTTATGAAGCGGTGTCTCTAAAATGTGGTGTCCCACGTGTCTCACTTGTCCCGCGTGTCCCATTTGTACCACGTGTCCCACCTGTACCACGTGTCCCACTTGTACCACGTGTCTCACTTGTAGCACGTGTCCCACTTGTCCTACGTGTACCACTTGTCCCACGTGTCTCACTTGTCTCATCTGTCCCACGTTTACCACTTGTCCCACATGTACCACGTGTCCCACTTGTACCACGTGTCTCACTTGTCCCACTTGTCTCACCTGTACCACTTGCCCCACGTGTACCACTTGTCCCACGTGTATCACTTGCTCCACGTGTACCACTTGTACCATGTGTCCCACTTGTACCACTTGCCCCACGTGTACCACTTGCCCCACGTGTGCCACTTGCACTACGTGTACTACTTGCACCACATGTGCCATTTGTACCTCTTGTCCCCACATGTCACACTTAACGGATTGTGATGTTAAATTAAATATAATGATAAATTTATTAATCCAATGGAGTTTCATTGTACTAAAATAGATTTTACGTCGTGAGATTTCTCTAATTCGCAAAATGGCCAAAATACGGATTCCCAACCGCGATAACGAATTAGCAAGATCGCAAACATACCATACATATCAAAACTAAATATAATTAGACAGTTTATCTCATGTGTTTATGTCGCATATTACATCTGTTTTTTTTTTAGTGTAGCAATGTATTTAAAAGTCACCACCGCGAGTTACGTTAGACACAATTGAGTTAATTACCATGGATTGAATATTATACGCCACAGAAGAGTCTCACTGAAAAAGTCGTTTTTTTAACGAGCGAATAATCACGGCGACTGTTTTATGAGGGAAACGAAATATATATAGACAAAATACCTGATGAATGAAATGTATGATAAATAGGATTCATGTGGACGAAATATTCGGCGAATGAGATACATGTGGACAAAACTCCTGAACAAAATGTATGAAGAGAAAACACTTCGCGAATGAGCTGTTGTTTCATCAGGGAAACGAGATATATATGGACAAAATATATGGTTAATCAGATGTATGATAAACGACATTCATGTGGGTAAAATATCAGGCGAATGAGAAATATGTGGACAAAAACCCCTTGGCGAAATGTATGGAGAGAAAACATTTCGCGAATGAGCTGTTGTTTGATCAGGGAATGTATGTGAATGTATATGGACAAAATATCTGGTGAATGAAATATATGTGGACAAAACCCCTGAACAACATGTATGAAAAGAAAACATTTCACGAATGAGCTGTTGGTGGACAAAACATCTGTTAAATGGTATGTATGATAAATGGGATACATGTAGACAAAATACATATTGTACATGTGGACAAAACATTTGATGAATAAGATGTAGGTGTAAAAGTCATGTGATTCCAAACCTTATCCGTTAAACTTCTCCCTTATCAAATCTTTCAACCTTTTTATTTTTTCCCCACTATGCATAAAAATTACTGTATTAATTTTATCCTTAGATCTTTGTCTATTGCCCTAGTTGAAAAACCGATTTTGTACAGTTCCAGTATTTTCTAATTGAATGTGTGCATTGTATTATAGTAGTAGGCAGAGCGAACTTTGGGAAATCAGTAATGCTACAGCAAATACAAATCCGATTGCTTCTCAAAAGGACACAGTTACTAGCCATTTTTTCAGTTTGGAAAACGTGCCCCCAATAAATGAGATATTTGTAGACAAATTACGTAATAAATAATACTATCTTTAGCTATAGTGTATGCTCAAACAGTCAATGTTCAATTGAAGCAATTCGTTTATTTTTGTTAGAAAGACGCATTTGTAAAGCAGACCAATTCCATCAAAAACATGACTTTATGTTCTTTGTAGTGAATGCGCCAAAAATATATGATCACAATGATTTAAGAAATAGTGATTGTAGTATTTTTTCAATCCGGCTAGTATCATTAAGTGACTTGAAGATGAAAAAAATAAGGGAACTCAACATAGAAATAAAAAGAAATTGGTATAAAATAGTAAAAGCAATTGATGCTTGCAATAAAATAACAAACATCTTGGCAGAAAAAATATAAGGTATTGTAGTTACATATAAAATCGGAGAGAAAAATGCAATGGAATGATAAAAATATCATAAAATAATATGGTAGTATTCATGTTAGATGGGACAATATTTTTTTGGTTCGATAGATAATGTCAACATGTGCTCGGGACATTATTAACTTCCACATATCATATTAGTCTACAAACTACCTGAATTGTTCTCTTATTGCTCTAAATTTACAGAAAAAAATGACGAAAATCGAAAAAATGTGATAAATATCAAGCGAAGAACTAGGTTGCAAAGCAATTTGAGTAGTTAAAACCAAGCGTGTGCAACATTTAATACAGGAGGAGGACCAGATAAAGATAACTGGGTAAAACCGCAGGTCGCACTTTCATTCAACATAGGCTTTCTGGTAATAGCAAGCACAAAAGTTTTGGTTATTAATGACATGGGTGACAAATTAGGACTTGGTTTATCAGTGCCGGAATATAGTCGGGTTGAAATCGGATAGGTACCGACATGGGCACAGCAAAGGTTTGCGGTGAAATCAAAACAGAGCACCCAAAGTGCAATTCACGATAAACTGAATAGAATGCGTCGTTCACGGCGAAATTTGACAGTTACGTGTAGCCCCGCCTCTTATGTGCCTGGCGGTTTATGGTGAACATTTTGCAAGTCCTATTTCAAATATCGACCATTAATCCGTAGTCAGCAGTACCCTCATTTTAAAATAGAACATTAGAAATCGTGAAAGTCAATTTTGAGAGAAGTGAAACTCGCGGATGTCAGTAGCGCCAAAATCGTTTATAAGTACAAAAACACGCTCGCATGTAGCGCCGATCAAATGCATTAAATGTGGAACTAGTACTTGGATTTTAATGTTAAACAAGTTGTGTCGTGATTAGTCGTGGGCAAATGGTTTTTTTAGTCGAATTATTCGAATATTTTCAACGAACACAACACCGAATAATGAGTATTGTCATTTCAGACAACCGTATTTGGGATGTCGGCCGCCGAAACGATCGCCGTCACAATTTTATTTTTCGGAATTCACTTGAAGTCTGAAAACTTCGCAACAATGCAGCGATTTTTATTTGCTAATTTTGTCAAAATCCAAGGCCGCAGTAAATATTTGACATTCCCAATTGATGATGATAAACTATATTAAAGCACTTTTTATTCAAATATTAATTCTCATGCAACGACGGATATCGCAGTTTGGTTTTTATTTTTTGGACAAAAATTTGATTTCACATCGGCGACGATGTCAAAGACAACTATTAAGGAGTGCTTTCGCAACACAAATTAATTTTATGCTGCTTTCTATCTTTTTTGTAGGATTTGTATCACAGTTTGTAAATTTAGGTTCCAATTTTAAGCGAACAGTATTACTGACCCCGGAATGCGATATTTGTGAAGCTGATAGTTGACTTTTTAATGCTTTTAATTTTATATCATGTCCGTGTTACTTTCATATTAAACAATATTCATTAAAAACTCCACAAATTCGTAATCTCTCTAATACTCAGTGTTGAGAATTCACGTGACTCAGCTTTGGAATAAAACAGTGATACTAAATACTTAAATAAATCAGCAATAATGGCATTTCTACGTGGTCAAAATAATATATCTCCCCAATATCTCGGAAAATTTCCATAGAATACAAAACTTACCAGTCGTACTTATCTGGTTCGACAATTCTAAATTTACAAAAACGGTGTTGGAGCGCTTTATTCAAAATTAGAAATTGAAACATATGATAATCCTTACCCGTAAGTGGGACACGTGGGACACGTTGGACATGTGGGACAAGTGGGACACGTGGTACAAGTGGGACACGTTGGACAAGTGGGACACGTGGTACAAGTAGGACGAGTGGGAGGCGTGGAACAAGTGGGGCACGTGGTACAAGTGGGACACGACATTCTGGAGACACCCTTTATGAAGCATGACTGTTCATTCCATAAGTACAAACATATTTCGAGTTCAAACATTTGTGCATTGGATCTATGGGAATGTGATAACATTTACCGAGGAAATTTGCCTATGTGATAATTCGACCAGAAGCCAACTTGCCAATTTACGCAGTTGCACCCAAAACGTTTCGTCACGTAAGCACATTTCCATCAGTTGTCGTTTGCATCAACGTTCGATGACGCGATTTCACAACTGCCATTTGTATTCAACTATCTTTGTCAGGTCAATGACATGTCATTGGTCAGATACGCCACAATTTTGAGGGTGTTTTCAAGAGTTTGCGCTTTACAAGTTGTTCACGAGTTCCATAACTTTTATACAAAATAATTCAATCAACTGCCATTTAAGATAGGATTCACATATTTCTCCCGGGGGAGAGGAAAGTCGATATGGCGGCCTAACCATATGGCGAACTACATTCCCCATGGGATTAGAACCTGAAAACCCAATGCGGGGTAACCAGAGGTGCGATGACAAGCGTATTCCCATTCCCAGCGCTTACCACCATGTACTCAGGGCTGATTTTAGTCCTACCGTGTTTTTTCCAGGACTACATTTTGATTATTAAAACTAGAAAAATAACCTTGCATAATAAATGACCTTTGAGTTATTTTATACATAAATTTTGTTAAAAAAAATACGTAAAATCTGACTAATAGCTTATAAGTAGGAGTAAATGAAACGACATGGACTAGGCACTAGGGTACCAGTATATTGGAAATTCCCAATAAGAAAATCACGCTCGTACACCATCGAGTCAGCCTTCAGGTATCGACTAACTGATCCTGCTCACGATGATCACTGGAATACTCTTCGTCATTGTACATATGGGCCGAAAAGTGGTATTATATATATATACCATAAAAGTTTGTGGAAACTGCAATGTTTTTACTACACAAGAAGCAACGCCCGAAACTAGTTTTCGAGTTTTTATGTTTGTTGTTATAATTGGCTGGTATTTCGGCACATACACCGTCACATATTTTTCGTTCTTATGGTTTATACTAATCTTCACCACTTGCGCTCACAATTTTTGTTAACAAATAAGCTCCGCCCGTGAATTTTATTTTCTAGTGCTCGTGTATGCTTGATGACAATATTCTTTCTCTTCAGTAAGATTGTTGTGAGTTTTTTTGTCACTCGTATAGCGTATGAGTGAGGGCAAATGGGCACAATTTCTAGTTACAACTTTACTTTTCCTGCATTTGCATATAACTTTAAGTCTGTACTTTATGCGTGTAAATATTTCCTTTTTCAATTGATAAATAAACCTCTAAATAAACTCATACTTGAAGAAACTTATAAGTGCTCCCATTGACGGTAGTTCCGTGGCGGCGTCATCATTCCCCTACTTCATGCCTCACATCTGCGCAGTGCGCACGCGTTCCGTACCGTGGTGTCTGACATCTTTATAGCAAACTCTGAAAGTTCTGAAGTCTGGAAGTAGCAACTAGCCTTCGTAGATACAATACAGTATGTCAAACAAGCGGAGAAGAAGTGGAAAAAAAAGAAATTATGATATTGATAAGAAAAAAGCATGGAAGAAGCTGAAAAGAAAGCCGGTTATTCATTGGTATGTCTATATTAGGGCGCTACGGTACCGGTACCGGTATGTCAGTTCTCTAAATACTGAAATATTGGAACTCTCGTTTTTTTTATCGGAACTTGAGCCATTTGGAATTTATTTTATTTTTCTATGACTACTTGTACATCCCGAATTGGGCGAACTTGCACAATCTAATTTCTTCCCAATTTAATTAGGCTAAGTTAGCTGGGTGGCGCGGCGGTGTGGCTCAACGGGCTAAGCGTTAGGAATACGCTCGCCACCGCACCTCTAATTACTCTGCGTGGGTTCGCAGGTTCGAATCCCATGCAGGGATGGTTATGTGCGAGAGGATTGCTGGACTCCTCGCCGTCGTTGGGTGGTTCACGTAACCGCTGGTCGGTTACGGCTTCCTCCACCACCAAGTCCATGCTTCCGAAAAAAAAAAAAATACAGTAAAAAACTAATCCCATACCCGACTTGGAATGGTAACCGGACGAGAGGCCGTGGTTCGCCATATGGATAAGCCGTCTTATCGGCTTTCCTCTCCCCCGGGATAAAATATGTAAATCCTATCCAAATCCTAATTAATTTTATTGAATGGCTGAATGGGAATTCATATTATTGAATTGGAATTGAAGTAAAGATCTGATTCATTAAAAAATATTTGATTTACCCAGTTATAATAAATCATTTCTGACTCTTTACAGCAAACAAATGAATGATGTTTGGGACAAAAAGAAAACAGTTCAACAGAATTTGCGCGATATGGGTCTTGCATTTGATACAAACAAAGCAGTGAAGATTCCTCGCCCTTCTCCGGCAATCATCTCAGAAGTTCCAATTAATCTGATACCAACAGAAGATTTGAAACTTCCTAAAGTTCGGGAAAGTAGGTTTTAATCACAATTCTGCAAGTCTTAATTCCGCAAAATCATATGCTTTAACCTTTTTAGTTTCAGTTCAATTTTGTTTTTCAGCATTTTTGCAAAACTTTTCATGAGTTAAACTCACATACTTTTTGCGTCTGTGTATTTTTATTTAAGAAAATAAATCATCTTACTGAATTCCACATACTCATCAACGATTTTCAAGGCCTCAAAGGTCTGTTTGTCTCAATATTCGTGCTCATTCTGTATCATGTATAGTCATGACTTCCCAGTGAAAACAAAAACATGAAGTTAATACTGTAATGCTTCATTCCAGGTATGGAGGTTGAAGCTGCTCTTGGTGAAAAAGAAAAACGATTTCTTGTGTCATCAGAAGATGTCATTTTCTGTACCCATATGATGGATAAATATAGGGAAAATTACAAAGCTATGGCAAGGGATTCAAAAAATCAATATCAACTGACACCAAAACAAATCAGAGATAAAATAAGGTCTTTCAAAAGATCAAAAACACAATACCAACAATATCTAGACAATAAAAATTGCAAGGAAGATCCAGTTGAAGTTATGGAGTCATGATCAGAATAATATGCATTTTATGGAGGACAATACAGTGTTGTGTAACCAAAAAAGAGCATCTGAGACTGTATAAAAATTAATGCAAAAAAGTGCCAAATTGGTTCTATCTACAGTAGAATTGTTTCAAATTGCTATTTTGTCTGTCATGTTGGTTGTGCTGCTCACACTTTCAATGGATAAACTATTCATTTTTTGAATATGTAACTGTAGTACTAAAAAGTCAAATAACATTTTCTATTATTGTTGCAATATACTTTAAAAACGATGTGAAATTACAAATATTATAAGTTAGAAAATTTGAAAAGGTGATTTTCACAATATTTCAGACCTACGTTAATGACTTCCATTCCACATAACTTTTCATAATATACAATTTACAGAAGCTGTTCCACATTCTACAAGTTTTAAAACCAAATTTCGATTTTCTAAAAATTGGTCACGTTTTTTTTTTCTTTTTGTTCAATGATATTCACAATTAGGCGTTACTTACCTACCTATAAATGTTTGCGAAAATTTATTAGCTGACAGCTGCTATTCAGCAAGTGGGAAATAAATGAATGTTAAATAAATGAATTTCTTTCATCGCATACAAGAACCGGATATTTGGAGAAATCGTTAATTTCAATATATTGTGCCATTCATAATCGAGACATTATTTCTCGTTTTTTTTTTCAGTTCTAGTACTATATTTCTAGCCTTGTGTTAGACTTGTATACTGTGTGTATACATAAATATATATTGAACTATAAATAACAGAGATCTCTAAAATGGCAGATGTCGGTTCGGTAAGTGTTTCTTTACAAAATTTCCTATTTTGTAGCAAAAAATGTTTCTACAAATACCTTGATAAGCTTATCTGATATATAATATTACCGTATATATTTCATAACTTTGATGATGTTACTTTTTCAATTCTGCATAGTCTTACCAACTTATTACACGCTGGGTGAGGCGGGGGCCTTGGTGAGGTATCGGCTTCGAACTCAAAATCATAATTTGCGATGCCATCATAGTCCGGTCTAATCGCCAAAACCATTGCAATTTTGCTGGTTATCAGGCAGTTGTACCCAGTATCAGTGATGTGACAAAGTGTATTTTTTTTTATTCTTGCTGCACAAGTGTGAACTGAATTATGACCAATTTTTCATATATTCAAGTAATATTATTACAAAAGTTTTTATAATTTATGAAAATGTTTAACCAAATACATATATTCCTTATGGAAATCAAATTAGGGGTTGAATACATCATAATTTCCAGCCTGATTAAATTTCAGATATAGATAATGACAATTCTACATGTATTCCTAGTTGCTCATGTCATTTATTTTCTTTTTCAGAATCCCTTTGAGGCTTTGAGTGCAGTGAATGCTTTATCTCAACCTGCTGACAAGTATATTAACGATGTAAGCTGGAATTAATTTATACCTCTTTTAGTAGCAATACTTCTATACATCTTGAAAGTTCAATTTTCTACCATTTGAGTTCAATGTGTGTATTCATATATATATTTTTGTTGTTGTTACATATATGCTATACGTTGCACAGTACCTACAGTTTAGGGTAATTCTCTTTAACAGTGTTTTACTAACTGACTTGCATTTTGATTGCTCTAACACAGTAGTTTTCAACCTCTGGGATGCGGAGCTTTTTAAGTAGTACACAGGCAACTTTGAATTATTGCCAATTTGCCATAATCAACTTTCGAGTTGGCTAAAATATGCCGGCAACGCTTTTTCTCTATCTTCCCTAATATATGTATTTGCTGCACAAAAGTATAAAATGGATGTAGTGCCACATAAAATACTGCCTCAGCGCGTTTCTTGTGCCATTGTTCCCCATCCAAAAGAAGGCTTTTTGTCAGTGGTAGTACGCAATAGGTAAAAGGTTGAGAAACACTGCTCCAACAAGTCCATAACATCATTGGTTTTTAGATCTTTTCACTGAGAGACTATGTCTTTTTTGTGATATTCACATAATAATAAGCTATTACACAGCTAAGTTACACAGCTAACTTGTAAATCAGGATGTATTTTTATATTTGTAGTCTAGTATCGAGCTTGCTTGGGCAATCAAAGCACATGAACATGCAGAAGTATTTTTCAATGTAAGTATTATTACTTTTTAAGTAATGAGTAAAATTTGGTCGAGAATACTAATTTAATTATTCTTGGACTTTGTACACTATTCACTATGCAGATATTTGGGGTGGGGGCATGGGATTTAAACCAGAGACTTCCACCTGCATCAAAGTCCAACGCTTTTATCACTATGCCGCCTGGAATAGTGTTTACTGTGAGTTAATGTTAATATTCAAAATCTTTTCAGCTCATAACTTCAGTTGATCCATCACATCTTCGTCTTTGCAGACAGGATGATGATATATACAAGAAGTTTCGTGATCATTTTCCTGATTTTATAATAGACAAAATTGCTGAAGAAGAAATGAAGTCGCCTGCGGCTAAAGAAGTATCACGCCTCTTGCAATGTTAAATATTATCAATATTGAATGAAACTTATTTTCTGTATGGAAGTTTGGAAAATCCTTTAATTACTTTTTAATTGTATAAACTCAAACATAACAGACTGGATTCACCTAAAAAGATCGAATATTTTCATAAAAGGTATTTTTGGGGTGAGCTCAAAAGGATTTAACTTTTTACTGCTAGGTCTATAAGCATTTGTTTGAATCATGTTTCAGAAATGGCGGAATTTTTGCACCGAATTTAAAGGAGTGATTCAAGACTTCAACTTTGGAACAATGCTTCGTCTTGATTGTAACGGAATATATGATTCAGTTAACTCTATATTTGGTATGTATAACATTGAATTTTATGTAGTAAATGTTGTCATGCAATTGTAATCAAATTTTCTTGCTGTTTTTGAAAAGTTGGCCAAAAGATTGTGGCATATTTGTTATACTATCATTTCTACATTCTTTTCAGTTACGAGAATTCAGTTTTTGGCGATTGAAATTGCAAGAAACCGAGAAGGCTTCAATAAACATGTTTATAATGCTGCCTGTTTGAAAAATAAGACCACAGAAGAGAATAAGGACAGTTAGCACACAAATCCACTCCATGTATCTTTTTCATGTGATTTCACTTTTGCGCTCTCTTGCAATGTTTGTGGGATTGTGCCTTTCCCTCTCATGTCAACTGATACCTGAGAGATGCCACCTCGTCATGCCTTGATAGGATACAGCTACACAGATCTGTTTCTCACAATCTTGTTGTTCAAACAAAGATCCTTGCCTGCCAGAGTGCACAAGTGTGTCAGGCTGATCAATATACAACAAGATTCGATGCTTTTCTGCAAATAGTATCTCCTTTACAATGGTCAAGATTCACGAAAAGCTGCACAAAGGCTGATATCGTTACAACAAGTTTAACTAGGAATTGGAAATTTGAGCAACCCATGATGCGCAGTTTAATTTTGTCTCTGTATAGGCCTATATTCTTGGAGAAATCACTGTTTAAGGTCGTGTGGTCGTATCTTTCAGTGTTAGGAGGATAAATTATTTTGAACCAATAAAATTATGATGCAATGTTTTATTAATTTTTGAAAATCTCTGGTTGTCATTAGATACGGGATGTTGCGAGAAAAGGCCACGAAATGAAAATTCAGAAGTACATGTACCCAAATGTTGGCATCGAAACAATGGAGTGTTCATTGTAATCCACTCTCGTCTTTTATTTGTCACGTCGTGCGGCCGCCGCAACTGGTAACTTTCGGCGCGACTGGCGCTGTTTGGAAGTTATGTAAACCGTGTTGTGTTAACGTGGCTTACTAATTACAGAAATTTGTTTTGAAATGAGAACCCGTTTTGCAAAGTTCTGAATCCCATCACGGGTTCAGTGGCTCTTAAACTTTGTATGCCGCGCCCCCCATTGAAAATTTTTACAAACTTCGCCCCCCCCCCCCTCTTTTTGCTTCGAAAAAATGCTTTCGTGATGGGCAGGTTGCTATATATTAAGATGACGCTATATGAGTGTTGGTCTCATAGCGTCATTGCTCAGATTGTTTAGGCATAAAATGCTTCGGAATACAACTTCGCCATTCACTGTCGTATGTATAAAGCCAAATAGTGAGTGGTTGGTCATCATACATTCTCGTTTTCCGCTCAGTTTGCAATACCTGGTAAAGTCAAACTAATTTTTAAGTAAAACTAAACACGCAATAAACCTATGCTTAAATGTATTTTCTGCTTAAACGTTTACATGATACTCGTACAATTTCAATCAATTGTTTACATTCTCACTATTGAGCAATGCAAAAACCATGACACCTCTGAGAAAAACGAGTTAGTTTTCATTATATATGTAATCATCAGCGACGAGATGCTATAGCAGCTAACCCTCAAATGTACCCCATTTCATGTTAAAAATATGAAAACAAAGTTAATTTTTCCCAAAATTCGAACAAAGACTTTCGTAGGAATCAAATTACACCAGTATGGTGGCCCATCGTTGTCACGTGTAAAATTTAAAAAAAAAATGAAAAAATAAAATGAAAAAGCGAAAATAAAAAAATAGTTGTGAAAAAACATGAAAATAATTAAAAAAAAAAAATAAAAAAAAATTTAAATTAAAAAAAAAAATTGAAAAATAAAACAAACAAAAAAATTAAAAAAAAATTAAAATTAAAAAAAAAAAATAAAAAAAAAAAAAAAATTTGAAAAAAAAAATTGGATAAAAAGAAAATAAAAAGGTTGACAACGATGGTCCGCCTCGTGGCCCATCGTTGTCACGCGTTTTTATTTTTAGAAAATTTGATGCTGCTTGGGACCAACGTTGTCAGACTTAATCCTACACGCACAAATGTGTTTCCTGGGTTTCTAACTCACTACTGATTTTCATGACCAATATCCAATAAACTCAACATGAAAATGTTCTACAAATTCTCCATGCTACAAGTTCAACCACAAGCAATATATTTATAATAAGGATAAGAGAATATAGAATTGGATACGAAAATTTGTTTTTACGTGTAGAAGGTAATTTAATTGGAAAATGCTGCTTAACTGCTCAGACACTCGTGCGATGCCGGTACGGTATCGTCTGACCGTACCGGTACCCATGCAATCACTCGTGAAAGAATGGGAGATGATGAGTGATTGTATGGCTACCGGTACGGTCAGACGCAAAGCGACTATAACCGACTACCGGTATTTGGTAAGACGGTACGGTACCGGCATCGCGAGTGTCCAGACAACTGAGTAGTTAAGCAGCATTCTCCAATTAAATTTCCTTTATACACGTAAAAACAAATTTTCCGAATTTTCGTATTCAATTCTATATTCTCTTATCATTATTATAAATATATTACTTCTTGTTGAACTTGTAGCATGGAGAATTTATAGAACATTTTCATATTGAATATTGCTCAAGAAAATCAGTAGTGAGTTTGAAACCCAGGGAACACATTTGTGCGCGTAGGATTATGCCTGACAACGTTGGTCCCAAGCAGAAGCAAATTTTCTAAAAATAAAAACGCGTGACAACGATGGGCCACGAGGCGGAACATCGTTGTCAACCTTTTTATTTTCTTTTTATTTAATTTTTTTTTTTTAATTTTTTTTTTTAATTTTTTTTTTTTTTTTCGTTTTTATTTATTTATTTTTTTTTAATTTTAATTTTTTTTTTAATTATTTTTATGTTTTTTTACAAAAAATTTTTTATTATCGGTTTTTTATTTTATTTTTTATTTTTATTTTCAATTTTACGCGTGACAACGATGGGCCACCATACACCAGGTTTAAGAACATAACAGGTTCCATCCAGTCATTATCAAATTAAAATCTATATTCTCAAGACCTTTGGCACTGATTGAAATAATTATATCTAAGTTCCCATCCGTACGATGTACCTAATTACCCTTGTTGAGATAATAGGAATTTCTGTTTATAACGTGAATCACGAGCTCACGTTTACAGCATTTAATTGGATTTATGATCAACGTATAAATACGACTCCGATATCTTTCGATAGGGAGAAGACGATGTAAACCATTCAAAGCGAGTGTGGATAAATGTTTTAAGATTTGTATTCTGTGTGTTGTGGAAATTTACGAATAAAAACATATAGAGATTTTTAACGCATCTTCAAGCTGAAGGGTGAACGGGTGACTGGCAGTTCTGAGACAATCTACGAAATAGCAATATACGGTAACATCACATTCATCTAACAACCATTTATGCTATAATGCTAAAGATAGAATAAAGAAGTGGACCCGCAATCAAATTTTTTTTATCGTAAAAGCGGCATTATGAAATACTAAAAAAACAAAACAGAAAACACTATGAGTTCTGTTTTGGGGTGGACCGCGACAGATTAAAAACACTTTCTTAGACATTGCAAATCCTATGAATTCCTTGTGTCTGCGGCACACCAGTAGTACCAACCACCACCAACTACCGACTTGAAATAAATTTACTCCGTTGGATTTTATCGCAGACTTAGGAATTTCTGTAACGGTGATATCTCAAAATTAAACGAGTGACAGCATTGCGATCGAGCAGAGTAAGAGTTGCAGTGACAGCTCATATTGGTAAAAATTGGCAAGAATACAAATCAAAACAAAATGTAATCGGGCACTTTGCCACACATGATTATGGTTGCGGATTACAGTGGTATTTTGGATTAGTGGTGCTTTTATTTTATCAACGCAATTGCAGATTTAATTTATCATAATTAAATGAATGAAGCAACCATTTTAAATAAGTATATCTGTCATGGATTTAATTCTTCATTCAACAGAAAAACCATTACAAATCCGTTGAAAAAGTCGACTCTTTTACCGACTGGCGTAATCTCGAGGACTGACTCAGGAGCCGTGTCGCGGGGATTTCGAGTCGATGAATATGTATTTTTCATCTACTAATATACTTTATATGTATTTTAATTGTACTAAATTAAATATACTTTCTGGCATATTATACCATATCTTTCTAATGACGACAACGAATTTGCATGAGTGCAATATATATCAAAACTAAATATAATCGGGCGGTTGCTCACACTTTAATATGTCCGCGGATTGACGTGGTATTTTAGATCGGTAATGAGTTTATTTTGACATGAGTCGCCGCAACCGCGAGTTACCTTGAACACAAATTATTTAAAATAGAGAGACATTTTGAATTCTTGTAGTTATTACGAGACAGAAAAATTGATTATAACACGAAAAAGCTGGTATTTTTAACGAACGCGGAGACCGTTTCAGGAGACGTTACATGTAAATATCCGTTTTCAACTCGTGACCTCTCGCCCCCCCCCCCCCCCCCCCCCCCCCCCCCCCCCCCCTGTGAGCATCTCGCGCCCCCCAGTTTAAGAATCGCTGGGTTAGACTTAGAAACCAAAGTGCCTTGCTTGGAGTGGAAGGCGAATCAAAAATTAATTAATTTTACTGCGTCACCTAGCGGCTGTTGTTTATTTCACACTTTATGCAAGACCAAAGTATATATGACATAGCATTTTCAGACTTTGTGGTAGTTTAGAATTATACCTGTCTTGTTGCTGAAGGTCGCAATGGGAGCGTATTCCAGCGCATTTGTACCCGAAGAAAGTTCACTGGTTTCTTCGGCTACCGTAAAAGCGCCTAACTTCGGACAAAATTACTATATTTTCGTCAATAACTCGGCCATTTATTGTCCAAACGGTGCCAAAATTGCTCGGTAAAACATTCGTGCGGTAATTTACATTCCCTGCAAATTTCGGTTCAATTGGACTATTTTTACTATTGAAATAATCGATATTTCTTGCCATCTGACCGTATCCTTCACTGCCCTAACTTCGGACAGTCATTTTCTTCACTGCGTAACCGCGACGCACAGAGAGAAAGAGGCTCCCGATGCGGATGACGTAATCACGTCGTTGCGTGAAGATAAGACGCTCGATCGTCGTCGTAAGCGTAACATTGACGTCACGACGAAAATGCATTATTTGAAACTTCCGTCGTCCTATGTTTACATCTTTCGTCGTTATTTTCGATACTTCAGATGGAGTATAATAACACGTTAGTCATTTTAATCAGGAAATGCATACGTAAATCTATCTGATGCAAACCGTATTCAATCCACAATGAAGTATATTACGGGCTTCTATCGAAGTCTTTGAAGTATTAATATTCTCGACGGATAGCTTTTTTTATTCTGCGCGGTTATCTTTATAAATGATAATTATATTCAAACACACGGTAAATCCGATTGTAAAGTTTAATTTAAAATTCAACTCAATCTTGTAAACATGTAGGTCCGTTTATTTGTTGGAGATTAAATTTATTTTTAATTTCGAGTGAAATAAAATTCACCCAGGCCGTATTCAATAACTGTCATTTCGAACTACTAATCATAAAATAATGGTTAAGTCAGTGCACTGTGCCATATGGACGTTTGGAATTATCATAGTTCATTATATATTCGATTTTTAACGTCATCGATTAAGTGTGACATGTATTTTCATTAATGTAATTTTGGCATATATTCATACATGACCCGAAACAAAATACAAAAATATTAGATTGAAACGCCGTCTTTATCTTAACGGAAATTGTCATATTGGCTCCGTTGTGTCTGGCGTCAAAATTCATTTCCGCGACGCAGTGTGACGTCGTGTCGGAAGTGAGCGAAAAATAATCTACGTGAGGTTGACGTAATTTTTGACGCTGCGTGAAATCTTAATATTCTTACGGAATTTATAATTCAGAATTATTGGTTTTATTTAAATCTCGTACGACATCTTGCGATCACTCAAATAAATTATATACATTGTTGTCGCCCTCTACCGAATGATGGTATTTTGACGACGATAGTCTCAGTAGGAGCAATGACATTAAACAACATGATAGGCAACTCTGACGTCACTCCATAAGACTACAGGCAAAACATTGTATTTCATGATACGCTCCAATGCACATATTTCTCGTCGCCTTTCGCGTCCGTTTTCCGCTCGCTTTTGCTACTCGGCGTCTTTTTTACGTGTAGTACCTGTCTTTTTGCGCCTGTAACGAAACAAAATAATCTCTATATCTAAGAAGTTTTGCTTACTTGGAAAGCTGGAATAACAGGCAAGCTGTAAAGAGCAATTCTGGACATCATAGACGTGTTTTTTTATCAGAGAAGATTACAAACGCGATAGCGGAAAGATTTGTGTGAACATTTTGCAGATAATGACAAAGTTCAAAGTTTAGTAATTTCAATGTTTGCGCTTAATTCATTGAAATTTCATTTAAAGAGGGTGTCATACAAAACTGTGCTGCGATACAATTCCATAACACAAAGTTTGCACCTATCGAACTTGCTTTTGTAGGTGAATTTATTAGACATATTACATATTCAGTTAATCGTAAGGTAACATTGCTGGTACATAATGCATCGTAGATAGGTTTGTTTAAATTTAGGAATTTAGCTCATAGCCCACTAATTAATATTATCTTCTATGCAGGAGGTTGCAGGGCTGAATTCAACTTGCAGCCTTACCGATCACCTGACGATGCTCATTTAGTTTGGCTCGAGCAAGTCTTCTTTGAAATGCTTGTGTGGATGGAAACTACTTATATTTTTTGCCTTCCTCCGATTTTAGACAAATTTATTCTGAGGGATTTCGCATATAATTCTCACTGATTGTTGGCTGTTTATAATTCCTATTGATTGTGAATTCTGATTATAACAATGAGTTGAAAATTTTTACTGGCACCTTTTTCTTGTCAATACTCCAAGCTGAGGTAATAAACATGACAATACATTTATGTCATCTGGAAGCAAAATATGCACACTAATTAATAGTTTGGCACATTGAGATAATACATCATGACAGAAAATACAAGTTAAAGATATGTATGACCATCACATGGTAATTAAAATTAAAAAAAATTAATAGGGGCTGTGGAGTATGGAAAGTTCAAGACAAAGAAAAGAACAAATGTTCATAGCTCATGAACTCTCAATTTTGCCTCCATTGCTTTGTGAAGGCCAATATATTTCGAGTGGCTGAATTGGTTTACCTTTATGATAGCAATGATTTTGTATTTAATATAGCGAGATTATTTCAATTTAATTGAAGTGATATAATTTCCCAAAGCAATGCTTGAATCGTCTAGAATAGATCAGTGTTGTCAAACTCATGGGTTTTCGAGAGCCGCATTGCATTTTGAAAATTGTAAAAAGAGCCGCAAACAGTTTTTGATAATGTATACTTGAAAGATATTTTTAAGATAGTTTTAGTTTGTGACATATATTGTGATGCAACTAAACAGTTGGATTAAGTTTTATTATTTTCTTCAATTTCAAATGCAATTACATATTAATATTTGCATTCCACTATTATTGCAACATTTGCAAGTTACAGTATTTATTATAAAAAATCGTAAAATTCTATGTACAACCATCAAAATCATTTTTGAACAAGCTTTGAATAAGGAAAGAATAATACATACACTAAAAATAACTTAATCTAAATATATGAACCTAAAATTAACAAAAATACTACAGTATAAACTCAATGTTTTAATAATTACATTTGTCCTGGCGTTTGGCATCTTTTTTGTGTCACCAGCATACTAAACCCAGTCTGAAATGATTTATAGTACCAACTCTAACTAACGAGGCCACATGATCATGGGTTTATCTGGATCTTTACGAATGTTTAATTAATTCCAGTAATGCAAAAAAGTTACTTTTATCATTTCATGTATAGATCAGTAAAAAAACAAATGACAGATTTTTTCGACAAGACATTTCGCACTACATTGCGTGGTATAGGATTGCTTGAATTATTATTGATATTGATTTTTAGTAACTAAGTCGTTGTATAATTATATTAATATACAAACACATGGAAATTTTCTGTTCGAAGTTGGTCTTCGAATTTGTCATATTGACTGCTGAGCTTATTGTGTTTTTTGATTGTATTGACGGAAATATGACAAATTAAACAATGTGCTTCAGAATTTTGTGAAGAGCAGAAATGTTACAACTCCCATTTTCTTCGAAAATGCCACCTTCTTCATGTACTTTGCGTTTAATTTAATTACTCAAGTGTTTTATTCAAGTATTCTTTTGCTAGCTTGATGTGTATTCTTAATTGGGTCAAAATGTGGACAAAAAAATTAATATTCCAAAACTACTTTCAGTAAATTGTTTTCTGTGTGAATAATCAATTTCACTTTAGAAGGTTTGAAAAATCTATTACATTTAGATAAAAAAAAAACTTCAAAAATACTATTACAATTATTGTTAAGCGTTCGAGGGCCGCACTGGAAGTTCTCTGGGGCCGCGAGTTTGAGATCCCTGGTCTAGATTGAAGTTGTTCAAAAAATATATGATAGTATTTTATCATGAATGATGATTATACCTCTTCCGGAATAGTACTACCAAAAGTTGATGAACCAAATATAACACAGGTGCAGTGAGGTACCCGTAATCCTCATTTCCAAAGCTGTTTTAAGTATGTCTGGCGTGTTTTGTGCCTTTTTACAAATAAGACCGCTTATGCAATCTTACGCTTTGAAATTTTTAGTTATTTTCCTCAAGCCCTGCAGGATGTGGGGGCCATACACAACTCTACCGGAGGGTCAAATGTCTTTGCATGCCTCCATAGGTTGTTTTTCTATTGCAATTTTCTATTTTCAATTGCATTATATTTCTTGGAATCACACTGTCACTGATATGTCGCCAGACTTCTGATATCTCCCCGTCTGCTATAGTTGTCCTGTGAATAAATAATAGGAAATTGAGATTAGACGAATAGTTGAAAGTTTTGCTTTATGTCGGCTTAATTTCTTGATTGATATACTTACTATTTCTGCTATTGCCTCTTGTGCTGCAAGAGTCTCACAATGCTTAGACAGGTTTGTCCACAACTTTCACATCTGAAGAAAGAGAGGAGATTTATTAATTTTCGTTAAGAATAAATAAAGCAGTCTATATGATTCAGAATGGAAAAGCTAATAAATCCAATATCTCATGTTTTATTTAAAAAATATTTTACTGAATTTGGTATATAAACCAACTAATAAAAGGGTTTAGTCAGAAAATTACAAGCATTCGTGGCTCCAAATACTTGAGAAATCAGACTATACAATATAGACCGGTATGAGTGAAATGTTAGGTGAACTTGTTAACACTTTGATTCAATACGCAAATAAAAGTGAATGCGTAATAGTATGTTACAATGAGCAGCAATCAACAATGAGTATATATCCTCACTGATTAAAAAAATCTAACTGGAGGTGCATGAACTATTTGAAACCATAAGGGGTAAGTAAATATGTAATTTCGGCAAATGGGCAACTACGTACCGTACTGAATTAATAACTTCGTAGTATTTGACAAAGGCTGGCTTTCCCACATGTACTTAACAGTGCGATGCCCGGGTGTGATATACAACAATAGTATTCACCTTACCTTTTACCGATTTCTTTTTACCGCAACTTTCAAAAATATCATTAAAATCGACAACAACTGTCAAAGCAGGCACGAACACCATTCGTGCTACGCCTTGAAAGCAGCACACATCCGCTCGTTTTCGTCTCGTCAAGTATGTGCATTGGAGCGTGCTATCGAATACGATCTTCGGACAAAAATGCCGGAGTTGCGCATCATGTTGTTTAATGTCATTGGTAGGAGCGACGCTCTGCGCCGTTGAATGCCGGGCAGTCAATTTTCGGCAAAATTTCCGTTTTTTTACCAAAAAAATAATTATGCAACATTAAAAAAGATGAGAATAGATGTAGATATAACAGCGCAACCCATAATAATTAAAATTAGCAATATACGGCGCGTTTTAGCCAAGATATGGCCGTTTAAAAATTTTGTCCGAAGTTAGGAACTGTCCGAAGTTAGGCGCTTTTACGGTATCAAACCATCAGGTCCGGAGTGGATAGTAGCGCATGTAAACACTTGTGGTGTCCCTGTATTGAAGGTGATTTATAAAATATTTGACCGATGCCTTAAAGCTTTCCAGTCGCAGAAACACTCATGAGTGTTCTTATGTGCATTATTGTATTGATCATTTCTGTAGCTGGGTCGTGTACAAACATTCAAACAGATTTAAAATCATTCACCTGTGATTTTCTTTCATCAGGAAAAACACTTAAACTCAGCAGCTGAACAATACCTGAATACAGCAATAGCTAAATCATATTTGGTTAATAATGCTATGTAAACTCTGAGCATACACTAGCTGACTAGGGTCTTCAGGTTCAGCAGCATTACCTCTGTACCTGCGATAGTCTATACCGGTACCGGTATGTGTCGGTTCAAGGACTGTCATACCAGAGTGCAAACAACATACGGTAGTAAGGTTGTTCACATCCCAGCATCCTGTCAATACGATACCAGTTATACTGTAATAGGCTAGAACTCCAAAATATTTTCGGCTTTGAATGTTAAATTTACTTCAAATTTATTTTTATCCATCTTCCAGCTTAAATTTTTTTTATTTTGCAGGTTCAGAGATGTTGGCATCGTTTTTTGCAAATGGGAGCAGACAGGAATGGCACACTCACTCCAAAAGCAAAGATACATTCATCAGCTAATCGATTTGTAAAACAGGTTCGTTTGTCATATGCGTAGTACAAATAGAATATAGTTAATAAAAACAGATAGCTTACAACTCTGATTGCGTATTCAGTGATGTGTCTGTCTTTATTGCAGTATTGAAATGTCTGCTTTTATCATCACATGTTGACAAAACATTTTTAATCCGTATTTTGTTTCCAAAATACAATGTTTTCCAAGACCAGATAGACGTTTCATTTCATTGTGACTCATATTTATCCATTTCGCTATTGTTTATGAAATTTGGCATGGCCCGGATTAACTAGGTGCCCAGTGGTTATAGAGGAAATATTCAATGTTGCTGTAGCCAGCACGGAAAGTGGGTACTGTTGACAAAAAACCCCAAAAAATTAGTTAGGTATACGTGAAGGATGATCTAAATTTGCGCACAATTTTTACAAAGTCTCTGCTATTCTCTTAAATAGCAAGTTCACATAAGCAATCCTTGAGATTTTAATGCCCACATAAAAACTAACCAGCTTTATATTTGTATCAACATTTCAGATTATACAGCTGCTTCCTAGAAATGAGAGAGGTGTAGTGACATTCCAAGTATTCCTAAATGCCTGTGTTTGGTTTGAGGCAGCTCAAGCAGAAACTAAAATAAAAGGTGAGACGCTAGGTATATTGACCAATTTGAACAGCTCAAAACAAAACCAACATACATCTTGACAGCTATATCAAAATAAACTGTATCAAACATTTGTTTCTTGTATTCATTCATGCAACGGAAAAGAGATGAGATATCCTAATCGTATGATCAACCATTGCTTCTTGTCTGGTTACCAGTCCAGGAAAGATATAACCAACTAGTTCAGTTAATAGTAAATGGGGACTTTGGTGATGTCCAGTGGCTAAATGGACCACTCTGCAAGGGCAGGTATTCCATCAATTCTCTTGCACATGATCATTCTCCAGATTCCTTACCTATATATGGGTAGGGTAATTGATTGACGCTCCAGAAGTGTGTGTACCAATATAGAGGTAACTGACACAAAAGTCATTGACAGTGTCATGCTAACTGGTTCACTGATCTCATAAAATTCTGTGAGACGTTTCTATAGAACTGTTGCGAACCGGCTGAATCCCACAACTGGGTATATTCACATGGCTGACACAAGACAGTCCCAGAACTCACAATAGAACTAAAATAGGGAAAATTGGAATAAAATTATGCCCTAACCTGGTACACACACCATGTGAGTACCAATTGATCAGTGGTTCATTTGTGTCTGCCATCCATCAAGCTCTTGGTCATATCCACAACAACATGCTTTTTCTGTTAGTGATATTTTATCTGATGAATCGGGGTCAACCAGTGGATGCAAATTTGTTTAATCGAGTTATTGGGCATCTATATCCAGGAGTATCTCAAACGCAATTGCGAGAACTGGCTGAAAGCACTGTGAAACAGGTATGTTTACATAACCTATTAGTTCACTCAGTTAAATATAAAGATGATAAAATACAAAGCTTCCACGTTTCCTTCATTTAAGAAAACCATGCCGAACTTATAGCGCTTGAACTATGTCACGTTTTACATACAGCCTAACTAATGCATGATCTTCAAAAAGTGAATCATATCATCGTTCCACGACCAGGTTTACATAAACCACAGGGCAAAACCTATAAACTGTAACAAGTATTTTCATACTAGCATATACTTTTATTCAAGATTGATCGAAAAAATCAAGATAAATTTGACGAGGAAGATTTTTTAAAATGGGTGATGGAAAAGCCAGATGATGAAATGAACAACCTGCTAGCATTTGACATCTTACCACCTACTTTAACATCATAACAGGAAAAGCTTCAGAATTTTACGTGTACAAGACTATTTGGATTGTGCATTTTGCTCGCTCGCCTTTGGAGCTGTTTAAGAAATACTATATTTATTCACCACAGTAGTGGCAAATTTCCTTTATATTCAAATGTCCATATAACTATGAAGTACTGGTTGTTAATTCTATCAATTTGCGTCTTTTACGGTGCTGATTGCTAGTCAACCTTTTTTTGTTACTATTTTCTATCACATTTATGCACTAGTATATTTTTATATAAACTTAATTTATGCACTTTTTGAAATATACTGGTAATCTGGTATAATGGTTTTCATAGTTCACATCTGTATCATGTATTTTACTAGCAAGTATAGGATTTCATACTGGGGAATTGACAGAATGTATACCACAGCCTCTCATCCAATTGAGAGGGAAAGTGGAAATTCCTCAAGCCTGAAAAACTATAGGGCTTCAAATGCTGTTGCATGCATGCGTGGAACAGTTCAGCAAGTGACGGGAGTATATAAACAGAATAGTCAAGGTACAAGCATCACATCAGGTGGGTCGTAATTTGCCTAGCCCTGGATTAGTTGTTGGAATCCAGCGAGTCAAACACCTAAGAATATTTTTTTTAATTCTTCAGCGCAACTATAACAAAGCAATCACATCCACATTTTATCTAGAAAATTCTTTTAACCAGTACTAGAGTAACTCGCAATTAGTCTTCAACAGAGAATTCGCGAAAATATGAATGAGTACAAAAAATCTGAGAAAGATCTTAAAATTCTGAGATTCCAGCTAAAAATAATTCACTTGGTTTACATTTAGAAAAACTACCATTTATTTCTAAGAATAAACTTTTGTAAACATAGCAGGACTAACACATCATTTATTGCACATGGATTCCATATGATTGACTTTGGACATAACTGCGGGTAGACTTCTCAAAGTGAATTTTGCTTGTTTGATTAACTGCGATATCTCTGCAATCTCCTCAGGAACAAAACTATTCGCCGATAAGGACCAAGAATGCAGAATTTCGATTACCTGAAAAAATTATAAACCACTGTAAATAAATGTCTACCAGTCTAAATTTTGGTACACCAATAATTCATATTAAAGAAGTGATCAATACACACTCCAGAAGTGTGTGTACCAATATGAAGGTGACTAATTTTATTCGCTTACTTCACATCAAGTTGTCTAAAGACGTTACTATGGGACCTTGTCTAACACAGACAGTCCTCAAACTCGTAATAGAACTAAAATTGAGATAAGAGCACTCATCATCCAGGGTGTAATAAATTAGGTGGGTAATGCCAAACTATACCGATTCTGGTAAATCCAAATTATAGTAGGTCACTTGTGCAGAGCTTTGCTCGGAGCAAATATATATATATACAAATTAGGAACATACCATGGTGAGCTTTGTGTCTGAATTAGGACCAGTTTTACAACAATCTTTTAATGATCTTATTATTGAAGTGCGATGTTCTAAATTTGTCCTAATATCCGCAAGTACTTGTCGAAACGGATGAGAAGCAGAATTTGTGGCAGTGGGAAATCTAACAAAAAAATATACGAGGAAATTGAATCAAAGGATTAAAATGCAGTTCAGCAATTCAGATAAGAAAGTTAAAACAAAGAATTAAATTGACAATGTGAGGTCATAGACAATGGCTGCTATTTGTTGCATTTGATTCATAAAAATAACAAACTAGTTTTTTTGTTTGTAAAGAGAAGTACAGTATAACAAAAGTAACAAATCAATTGCTGCAGTTTCAAATAGTTTCGATTTTTAAATTAAATATAAAATATTGGAAAAACATTTCTATCTAACGTCTATAGAGAAAACTTTTTCGCTTTGCTCCGCTATCAGTTGCAAAATTGTTTACTACTTTCTGTAGAGGATTTGAAACCTCCAACCTTTTTTGATGAAGTAATAAATTTAACAATCACACATCTTGAAAACTTAGACCAATTACCTTGTCAAGTATATGTTGAATATATCAGACATCACTCTCCTGACATAACTATCACGCTTGTAGTCCAGTGACATAAGACCTTTAATATACTGCAGAAAAATGAAAGTTTGTCAAATACAGTGAATTCAGACCAGACAAAATGAAACGAATATTTGACTTCATTCAAAATGAGCAAATATATACTTAAATAAAGTAATATTTAAGGAATTTGAAGTACTTCATCCTTTTAAGCATTTGATATCTGATGGTCAGACAATAAATGGACTCGTTTTTTTCCTGATCAGTCAACATAAATTTATCCAAACTATTCCACATTCAAATAAACTTTCAATCAGTTTACAACGACTTCCGCAGATTCCTCCGTTCACCATAACCCTCTCTAGAATGTATTCAATGTCAAATTTTATAAATTATGTAAAACGGTGAATTTTTGTGGTTTACAAAATTTTCATTCCCCCTAATTTTTTGCCATATTCAATACGAAAAACTAACAATAGAAGGTAAAAGAAGATAAACATTTAGTCGAAAAAGTATGAACAAATCATAATTTAATTCAAATTAATATAGACAACATGAATGGCACCAACTAAGAGGGATTAACTCGTTGCACTGAGGAAATTACTCAGAATATGCGGTCCTCTAGGGCAGGGGTGTGCGACCCGGGAAACAAGTTTTTAATTTAATTTAGTATGTGCGAGTTCGATTATCCCAATTCCTTTGTGTTGCAATGTCTATATCTGAGCTTGTGCAAAATGAACAACGCATGTCACACGATCAATAACCAAAATTTTGTCTGCAACTACTAGATAGCCTATGTTAAGTGAGGGTGCAGCCCGCGGTTTCATCCATTTATTTGTATCTGGCCCTCGCGTATCAAAGGAGCCTATGTTAAGTGAGGGTGCAGCCAGCGGTTTCATCCATTTATTTGTATCTGGCCCTCGCGTATCAAAGGTTGCACACCCCTGCTCTAGGGCATCCAGTTTGAGAACTATCCCTGATTTTGAGCTGGAATGCTTTTTTCGTGAGCAAGCAACTTAATCAGTTTTAGTTAGATAAAATCAGCAAAGATCATGCTTCTCATCTCCTATTGATTAGTAGTCTTCAATACGAGTTAATTTCAATATAAATAAAAAACTCACCATATGCAATGTATGACCAATGACCCTCAACACAGTTAAATGAGCATTTTTATCTTGAGATGAATAAATCCATAGTGGAAGAATCAAAGTATCAATGATTTGAATTATGATTCCTGATTTACCCTGAAATATGAGTTCAAAACTAAAATTAATCTGTAAGGTTGATTTCAGTTAAAATTATATTATTTTATACGGCCTAACATTGGTTGCAAATGGAACATACTGCTCAAAGATCAGCTTCAAGCTTCAGCTTTTTGGAGATTGTAAATTTATTTTAAAATTGTTTTTATTTCTTTTCAAAGTATTTGACATTTTCCAATATGCGGAAATGCATTGACTTGTACAAAACTGCAATAAATACCAGGGATGTCCAATTCGAATTTAATATTTGAAAATCGTGACCTTCGAATATCGTTTTTAGTATTAATACGAATATTGAATGTCACGCATTTCAATGCCATTTGATTTATTTATGTCTGCTTCATTATGATAATATTATTTAAGCTCTATTCCCATGTTCTTGGATTTTTGAAATGTAAATAAAATATATGCTTTGTGGGATTTTAGAGTGTATTCGGAATTCCAGATTCAAAAATATTTTTTTAGAATGTATTTGGAATAGTCAAGTATTTGGTAAAAACACCTATGATCAGAAATAGAGTTATCTATTCACAAAGTAAATTACGAATGACGCAGTATTGGATGAGAATACAATTGACAATGAAAAGTAATATATGGGATCAGGGACTAAATTACAACTTCAGTGAACAAAGAGATCCAGATCCCATGAAAAACGCAAGGTTATCTTTCGAATAAAAGATTTCTTTAATCCTATTCTAAGGTATGAACATTATGATATTCCTCATTGAATATTCAGTTTTATCGATATTGTGCTAATACTTGCTTTGAATTCAAATTAAGATTTTAGAAGTGCTGCACACAACTCAAAAAAAGCAAATATAACAATCATATTTCGGTGAAACCTATTTTGTAAAATTGAAAATCGCATACTTACTGAGGCATACAATAACCTAGAACAGTGGTGAACTATTTGACCGCAAGTTTTATAGATATTCAATGTGGTTTCCCTGTCGGTGGTTGTCAAAGATTTAGAAAAAGAACGTATTACATCAGATATAGGTGTAAACCATACAGTAGCCTGCTCTCTTCTTTCCTTACGTTCAATGAAGGTCTAGAAAAATGACTAGAAAAGTTGAACCTATTTACAACTCTATATCGAGGTGGAAGTGTTGACTGTAAGATTGGCCGTATCTAAAGTTCATATTAAATATATAATTTCATTGGTGGATATGTCACTTGGCAATGGGTTGCTTAGCAGTTACCTCATTCAACTTTCCACACCGTGCAGAATAGAAAACTAATCAAACATCACTAAACTAATCTGATTAATCAAATTTATTTTCCACCATTGCTTTCGAGAAAGACCAATGAAAGTACATAAAATATGCCATATTCAAACGTAAAGTTTAGAATGTATTTGAAATAGTAAATCATTTAAATTGAGCCATCATTGGCTATATGTCCAATTTGATCATTGAAATAGCAATTGTATGTGAGAATATAAGGGAGTTACAGTCTATAAATGTGATGAATAGAATTTTCCTAATCAGCAATAATATCAATAATATTCCATGCTGATGTTCAGGAAGCAAATTTAGAACCATCTTATTTGACTGTTGAATGCATTTCCCATCTTTCATTTCTAAGTACGATTAAACCCTTGTTATATTATGAAAGTGATCATCATTATTTACTGATGCAAACTTGTGGCCTAATGGCTAAAGAATTAGACTTGACTAATGACTATGATGGAATCGCAGGTTAAAATCTTGGGATCATATCTCATGCCCACCACCTCACACAAGACGAGTAAGAAAATTGAGTAGACATTGTAAAACTGGGATGATTCCGCCATTCCGGTCCTTCCAAACTATAGTAGATCTCGACCTATCCGTGGTTGCTTATGAAGTGTTTTGTTCAGAGTGAAAGTGGTATAAATACATCGTGTAAAAATGAGCCGAAAGAACTTTATGAATATAAAAAGAAGCTTACCTTAGAAGCATCATATCTTGATCCTAGAGCACAGAGAAAGTCGTTAAAACATGGATTGATTGATGATGTTGGATTGTTGAAAATTTCCTTAATGACATCAATATTCAACAAAGACCTGTTCACAGAAAAAGAATCAAAAACAGTCGCATAACTAGTTAAGTAATAAACTATTAACCTAAGTCCAGTTTTGGGGAGATATGTAGCGACTCAAACTCAAGAAACTGACATACAATTTTAAAGAGTCTTGGAGAAATTAAGAACAACCCAATCTCTTTCTACGGAATAGCAAGTATATTTGTAAGCTTCCGTTAGAAAGAGATATCGTGGAAAGAGATTATGCTATTCTTAATATTCTTTTTATCACTATCTCGTTCAAGCATCCATGTGGCAACTGACGCGTACGGATACAAGTAGGACGTAAACAAGAAAAAATTACTTGCAGTTCAGTACAAAATACCATCTCTCTGTATTGACATGAAAAAATCGAAATCACTTGTTCATTCGTTAATTGCAAAATTAATTACCGGTAATACCAAGTAAATATTGTCAATACATGAATCCTAGTTCAATTTTCAAAAAAATATTAGTTTAATGCAAGATGGATGTTTCTGGAGTTGCTTTCTGAATAATAATATGAAACAGACTAATTTATAACAACAACAAGTCTGGGGAGTGAAGTTGAGCAGGTAAAACGTTAGACTTGACTGTGCCTTCATCGCAAGTAAAATATCTCAAACCCATACCCAACACCTCACCATGAGGTTAATAAATTAAGAGAAATGCAAAATGAAAAATTTGTGACATATTACCTAGCATTACCTTTCCTAACTCAATGTGAAGCTCATTAAACTGGAGTTTCTGACCCACAGTGGGCCGCGAAAGCCTCAATGGGGGTTGCGGTGAAATCAATTTTTACACGCTAAAATATTTAGCCATGCCAAGTGGGCTGTGATGGAAAAAGTTTGAAGAACACTGGTACAGAGCAGGGCTACTCAACTGGCGGATGACGGTCCGAATCTGGACCTTTCGAACATTAAATTTGGACCGCGGCTACTTCTTGACTTTGAATGCACATTTATTTTTATTCCACAGTCAATACATTTTTCGCTAAACCACTTAAGGAAAAAACTTCTATAGCAGTTGCTATGGCAATATAGGCGTTCTCAGAGCATCGACTCACTTGTTTACTCCCTAGCACAGTGTTTCCCAACCCGAGTCCACGGAGCGTTTGAATGAGTCCGCAACGAGCCAGAAATTTACTGCAGGGGTCGCAAACATTTTTGCGAAACTGAACTATCAGCCAGGTTAAGATTTACGTTAGAATTTACATAACAAATAAAAAGCAAGTTTATTCACATAACATTAATCGAGTCCTTATTACTGGTTGCTGAGTAGGACTGGGCATATATTCGAATATTCAACTATTAGAATAGCAATTTACTATTCGAAAATTTGGAAACAGGTGACGCCACAGGTCACTTGCGCGTCGCTTAACCAAACTTAAGGATTTCCGACAAAAACACAAGAGTCTGCACACGCTTCGATATATACCTAAGTGGTGTTTCTCGCGAGTTCGAACAACGAGGAATAATTTTTTTTCTGGTAGATGTCAATGGTGGAAATCAAAATTTTCTAAATTGGAAAGCGGCAATACAAAATACTAAAAATAAAACGGAGAACACCATAAGTTTTGTTTTATGATGGTTCGCGACCGATTAAAAATGCTTTTTTTGACATTGCAAATCGCAAAATTTACGGGTGCTACTGTAGTATACGTACCAGGGCATTTACCCTTAGGATTCTTTGCTTTACTGCCTCCACATTGGTACATACAGTACTGGAGCGCCGTAAGTGTTGTACGAACAGCTCAGATTTGTCGCATTCACAAAAATACGAATCAAAATAAAATACGAGAATATCGGCCAGAGACCGAAGACTTATCGATCGAAAGTTAGGGGATCCCCTAAGCTTACTCAATAGTGACACCTTGTGTCCCATCACTAATTAATTAATAACTCGCTAATTATACGACATAATTCGCCCAAAATCAATAGGCTTCTGATCCAAGATATGATGAATGCACATGCAAAATCTGGAGCAGATTCAATCTCGCAACCTACCAACATACTTACCAATCCTAAGATCGATAAGTAATGATCACAATTAAATTATTTTAAAGAAAGGCGATGAATATGTATTTTTGATTTACTAATATATGTACTTTAAATATATTTTTAATAAGTACTAAATCAAGTTTGTACTTTCTGGAAATTTATAACAGGTAGTAAGATTTTTCTAACGGCGATTACAAATTCGCAAGATCGCAAAAAATATGTACCAAAACTAATATAATCGGGCAATATACTCTCACATTATTATGTTCGCAGATTGCCGTGGCATTTTAATAAAGGAATGCTTTCTTCCTGTTTAAGTCGACGCAACCGCGAGTTACCATGAACACAATTAAAATAGAAAGACATTTTAAATTGTCGTCGTTGTCACGGATTGAATATTGTGCGACAGAGAAGGCCACTATACACTATAAAAGTCGACTTTTTTTTAACGAACCGTAATTGCGGCGAATTTCCAATTTTGAAATCCGTTAAAATTCTGTTGTGTTTGGTTTTATCGTAAATATATACTACTACGTTTTATTGCTTCTTCGCACAGAGTACGGTTGCAATAAACGCACCTTGAGTCCGCAAAGGTATTCGCTGGTGAGAAAATAGTCCGCAACCAAAAAAGGTTGGGGAACGCTGCCCTAGCAGCTAGCATTAGATAATCAGCAAGATGTCAATGGTGGCGTAACAATTGAACTTCCAATTAACGATTACTTGGATACATTTCCGATCAAATAACCCATTGGCAAAAATAATTGGCAAAAACGGAGAAATGTGATTTCTCAAGACTAACAATTTCCAGATAAGTTTGCTATTGAACACGTCGAATAATGAATCGTTTTGCTAAAATTCTTGTGGACGCTGTGGTTTTGTGGAAAATCATTCTTTGCAACTAATATATTCCAAAGATTTAGTCTTATATATAATTCAAGTCGTTGTGATATATATTTTTACAGGTGCAATGAGGAAGAATATTTCACATCTTTTCAGTAAAGTAGGCGTCCGTCATACCGAAGCGCACCATGGGCATTGCTCTTGAATTTTATGAAACGATGCATTTAAAATTTTGTTTGCATAGTTAAAATATCTTTTTTGAAATGACCGGACCTCGGTAATTCTTGAATTTTGTGTACGAACCTTTGGTGAAAATAGTTGAGTAGCCCTGGTATAGAGCACTCAAGCTTTTAAAAAGTAATGTTTAATAATTGGATACATAGACAAAAAATCACAACACTAGCTTGTGATCCTTACTGCAACAAGCCCAGTCAAAGAACTTACGTTACTAGACGAGTCTGGTCCTTTTCATTGGAATGTGAAATAACACATTTCAGACATCCTTGTATAACTGACGATCTACAAGAGTCCGATTCGACTGATTTATTATTAAGAAACAGAACCATCTCTTCATTTTCTTGAGATAATATTCCAACGAGTAATAAAAATCTTGTCCTTAGTTTGACTTCAGATGAACAACTAAAATCTTCCACAACATTTGGAAGAGAGGCTGATATCGGTGGCAAATCCGCTGCTGTGTTTTTTCTGTTGATTAAATTAGGAATTTATAAGTATGCTGCCAACTTTCCACACCACAGTAACAACACAGTAATTACCTGGAAAAGTGATTGTGAGAAACCATATTTCAATGGTACAAAGGAACACACAAACTTTTCTGATCACTAGATTGGATAAGACGGTTTGGATTATGATTTTGTTTTACAGCCGTTTTATGGAGCTGCTTAAAAAAGATATTATACATGCTCGTGTAGATTTATAACCATTTGGGCATAGATATTATTAGTGTTGTACCGGGGTCAAAGGTTATCGCAACTTATCGGTATGTGTTACTGCTGTGTTTAATAAATATCCTTAAATAAATCTATAAATTCAGATGCGTTTATATATTAACATTTTTGAGCAACTCCCAGTGTGTCTAAAAACAGGTTTATACCTCAATGTCACCTATTGTCTCATGTCACCGAAAGTTCGGAAAAGTTCGCAGTGGAAAAATATGCTTGCATGAGGTCTTAAAACCGTTTCATTGCACCAATCCATGACACCATTTAATTATAAAAGAAAGAGACTATAGAAGAAAGATAAAGTAACAAGACCACACAAATCCTTATAGAATGCTGTAATAATAATGTACTTAAAAACATTTAGCAACAACTCGGAAAACCAAAATAGTGGGAATATACAGAAAAGATCCATTCAAAGAAGTCATGGCTGTGAAAACAAATTTCACAAAATCAAACTAGGCTATTTAGATATGCAAATATACCATCAGAGATATGGCAACAAAAAAAATTTGCGGCCAACTCAGAATCATTCAAAAATAGCTCCGCTCCTGGATATCAAAAATTTCAAGTAATGTATATCCTGATCGCACTGAAAATTCGGCCTATATGCGCATAACTCTGATCGCACTCAAACAAAATGTGGGATGATGATAAAGTCATATATACATTGAAAGACTTGAAAGATCTTTTTGGGGAGTTTGACAATGATAGTAACTGAGAATGAATTTGAAAGATTTTAGGACACTTCTTACCGTTATTAATAAAAGTGAAACATAACAATAATGGTTATCATTTTCATTAATTCTCTTCTGCAACCATTTGCTGTGATTGGGGCCGTATGATGCGTTACGATTTGAGGGGCAGTTTTTATGCGAGATCGAATTCTATGCAAGGATATACGGGTGTCAGACACCAGATTAGGCGACTTCCAACCAAACCAGATTTTTACCACAAAAACTTAGTAGGCAAACTTTCATAAGTTTTACTGAAAAGAATGCTTTGTCAACCTGATGCCGTCCTAATTTCCATCGTAAATTTTGGCTTCAATTATCACTATTAGAACTATAAAATTCCAAATTTATAGAATTCCAAATTTCCTCTTCGACTATTCCAGCTTAGACTCCAATACAAATAAAAATATTGCCAAATATGGCCCCACAGTTGTGACTCCTGTGGGTGTATACACTCAAAATTGTTTGTTACCGCCATATAACAGATTTATGTAAATACAACTTACATTTGCAATAATAAGAGACATAAATCTGTTACAACATTAACTATTTCTTCTGAATATGTTATTTCGACTCTAGATTTCTCCTTTATCCATGGAATCGATTGATTGACGATGTTTTGTAACAGCAAAACACAACCTGTTATTGATTCTTTTCTCTCACAATGCTTGAGATGTGATCTGGAATATCAAAAATATCAGTTATTTTCCTATATCAAGGTTATTTACACGTTTTGCTGCGAGCAAGGCTCTTTACAACCAAACCAATCACTGATATTTAACGATATGCAAAATGCTAAGCTACTATTTTGGAACGACATTGCTTACCCCAGCGGATCCCAAAGGGGGAACAATAGAATTACACAGTACTTGCACTAATTTTGCGCGCTGCAGTTTATTTATCTGCTGTGCCGAGTTTAGCGAACACAAGTTAAATTTTCGGTATTTCAATCAGGCAGAGAAGAAGAGTTGACCTTTTGCCTTTATTACTTAGGAGCATACAAGTTAACGAACTTTGTAATATCGAATACCAGTAGCAATTTTTTTCTTGTGAGTGCGGCGCGAGTTTTTTCCCGAATAAGTTCTCACCGCAAGAACAGAAAGTTTGGGAACCGCTAACCTACCCAACACTTATAAATCGTAGTAATTAAATGCTGAAAATGCGAATCCATGAAAAACAACAAAAAAATATAAATTATTTTTTACACGGACCTAGCCCTGATTATGCTGTAGCCTTCTATCTTAAATACCTTATAGGTATGGAAATTCCGTATAGTAGAATAAACCAATGTCAGTATACTCACGAAAAAGTCGTTATGCAAGCAGAAATGTTCTCGAGGACAATGATGGATTCACTCGATCGTGTTTTACTGAGAGCAATTCTAAATCCACTCGCTGGTATAAGAAGATGCTGGGAAGAAAATAAACATTTTAAACATATATTATGATATTAAATGGCTAGACTAGAAAACCAAGCCCGAATAGAATTTGAATAAAAAATTTCTATTGTTGAAGCTTGAGCCCAAAGCCAATCTTACTATAATAGATGTAATCCAAATGTACAATGGTTCCAGCTCCTAACCATCCAATTATTTTTTCACATTTATACTTTCCTGATATTTAATAAAAATAATAAAATCTGTCCTTTTTTCAAGTTTAATTTGCATAATTAAAATCCTTATATCACGTTTCTTTGAGGCTCATTTCCACAAACTGCATTTGGGATGATGTTTCATGGTTGTGTAGTCTAGCCTAGCTCTGAAGTATAAAAATAAAACTCTGAAAATGAATCCACAGTTTAGAATTTATATATACTGTAGCTCCAGAGATGGAGTCGAAACCATTGTTATTTCAAACAAGCTGACCAGCCCTACCCACTACATAATTTAAATACATCATACTTGACCAAGATGAAATGAACTTGAACTTCGACAAATTTCTGACAAATTTTGCAAATAGAATGAGATGATTCTCCACAATGAATTACGTGCATCCATATTTTGATCACTGCTTGAAAATAATCTACAAACAAACAAAGAATGATTAGCAATTAGCATTTGAATTATGACTTTAGCCAGCGAGATAATGAAAAAATAAAATGATTTTCCATCGAAATATCATAGTTAAGGCATTTTTCAAAGTCACAAAAAAATTCAATACAGGAATGTCTAAATCGAAACAATTTCAAATTAATTATTTCCAATATTTCAAAATTTTGATTTTATGAATAATATAGAATATTCGCATTTAATAAATCATCACTTTTGAAAAATTGAAGTATGACTAAAAAAGCCTTTTTAAACCCGTAAATAGGGAGCCACAATCAAATCACTGTTACTCCTAAATTCCCTACATTTACAAATTATTTGTTCCATCCTACATCGACTTTGAATATGCATGTTGTTATATGCATTATTCCAAATTGGAAAATATTTTTAGAATGAATTCAGAAATATAGATTATTCAATTTTGGTCATTCCTGGCGCTTGATGCCAAGTTAATGCCAAGGACCAATTCCGAATTTCTATAAATCTCAAAAAATGATATTTTTTGAATCCAGGTTTTAACTAAATTTTTTTGACAAATCTATTTGACTCCATATCAAATCTTCTAAATTTGACAATTTGTCACATATTTTTTCAAATTCTGGTTAATATTACTGAATAAATGATAATCATACTTGAATACAAATGACATCATTTTCCCACATTTAGTTGATATTGCAGACATATCTATTGAAAACCTCACAGCAAGGTGGACGCATGAAAATAAACCTGTAAATTAGAACAACTTGTTTAATGACAATGTCTAACATTTAAATAGGATAAGATTTTGTACAATAGGCAACAACAACAAAAGAGTATGGCAATTTGTCAACTGAAATTGTCTCTTTTAAAAAAATAATGGTGACTCTGCAGTCTCTGGAAAAATTCCAAAAGTGCCTTGCAGTTTTCACAAAAAAGGGGTGCTTATAAGTGAACACTGCTCCCTACAGTGTTTTATTTAATCTGTGATCTCTACACAGAGCAACCAGGGTTAAGATAAAAATGCAGGACTGAGATGTCAATGCCTGAAACCAAGCTTACCGAAATAGATGAAGCTGGAGCCACCAGAAATTTTAATGGCTCCAGCTCCTAACCATCTAATTATTCATTCACATTTCAAGAGTTTCCCAACAAAAATGTGAATGTTGAAATTTAATTTAAAAAAAAATCAGAGAAATAAATGCTTTTTAATAATAAGTTTGGTATGATGTCACTAAATATTTCAATAAGAAGCTAGAAATATATGTTTCGCTCTTATTCTCAAAACAGTTTTTTTTCTTGAAGTCCTCAATTTAAAATATTCTAATACTTCATAAAATAATATAATTTATCTTCAGCAAATAGCAAAAGTTTAAGCTAAAAATTTGAAACAGTTATATTTGAAGACCACTGCTACAAAAATGATTTTAGGTTGTATCATGGTTGTGGTCATGCAAAAAAAATGTCTACGGAGCCGAAGCCCAACCAAAACTCCAATTCCAGAGCCTTATTTGAATATACTGTTGCTACGGGGCTGAAGCCATTGTGCTTTCTAACCAACCCCCCAGCCCTGGGATGTGAGTGCAATCGTAATATCCAGCCACATAAGGTAATGGACCACCAATAATAGCTTTACCTGTTAGCATGACTTTTTGTTTTCTATAGTCAGTTTTTCCCAGATATGCACTATTTAAAAACTCCAATAATTTCTTCACTCCATTTATTCTTTCAGTGTCATTCTCACTTGATAACAAAATCAGTATAAAGATCTTATACAATCTTGACATTCCGGTATCGTTCAGATTTTTCATGTCATTCAACTGGATTTTGGAATAAAATCTGGAATGAAAAGAGCAATTATTCATTGTTATTAAGCCAAAGTATCCAATCATCTCTTTCCATAATTGAAGATTCTATTTTTTACAGTTATGTAATTTTACAGTTATGTAATGTACTTTGTATTTCAGACAAAGAGATAAGTTATCCTATTTCTCCCAAATACTAGCTTGTTAAAGTATCCAAATAAGCCGCATACGGTTCCGAAGTAGAAAGTAAGAAATGACTCCAGTATCCTGTATTAATAAAAACATGCAATGCTCCGATTCCACAGCCATTACAACAACACAATGTCAGCCTTACCTGTCCTTCAATGCACCCCAACATCCAATGCTCAATAGTTCACCAAATATTGATAAAAATCTATTGAAAGAATCTTCATAAATGTGTTGTGATTCATTAGCAAGATACTGTTTTTCATATTTCAAATAATTTTCACATTTAGTTATCCATACAAGTGGAGAGAGTGATTTATCTTCTTTCATAGTATACTTATTAATTCCTGTGATTTAAAAGAGATAAAACAAATAAGATGAAGAGATATCGATTGATTGAATTGATGAATAAGAACAATCAAAAGATTCAGGCTAATATTTAAACTATTTGTGAGTGCAACTCACAATCAGGTTGCGGTGTTTATGATTTAGTCATTAATAGGTCTTATAATATTTAAACGATATTAGTAGTACTACACAGGAATACAAAGTTTTTTCCCCCCTAACAACACGTACAGGTAAATTCCGCCAGGAAAAAAACTCCTTGGTCCTCATTATTTTGAAGACTATTGCCAAGTGTTTTTGGTGCTGTTTTGAAGGTAAAATACTTGGGGTTCAAATCTCATATCCTATCCCAACTTTCTCACCCAAGGTGTAAAAATCGAGCAGGCAGTGTTGAATCAGAAAATTAGTAATTTGCTGTTGTATATACCAGTAAATGTCTTCAAATTGCAGGTTTAAAAAATATCCATAAAAATTCTCACTATTTACCTGATTTATCACTTTGTTTCACAGAGTTGAGTTTTTTGCTAAAATGAGCCCAAATTAAATGAAAATGGGCGAGTTCGGCTGACGTCACATTGCCTGAAAACGTATCAGAAGTTTTTCTCCAAAACGATGATATAGCTTGATAGCATATTAAATGAGCAGCAAGTAATTTTGAATCGCCATCACAACTTGTTAATGAAAGTCTGATCAACCGACTGAGGATTGGCAAATATGAGGTTGAAGTCACAGAATGCACCTGAAACAAAAATACATGTTACTTCTTCTTTTCAGATATTTCAAGATTCCCAACCATCTTTTTTATATGGATCGTTCATTAGCTGTTAGCTCTGGATTCTGGACGAGGTGCCACTGCAAAGTAAGGAGCTAATATTGGTTGGACGAATAGAACTCTTTCTGATTCACTCTTGGTGAGGTGGAGCACATGGGCTTTAAACAAAAGACGATGACATCATAGTTACGGTAAGTCTATTTCTTAACCAATGGCCATCTCACATTCATTGTTACTGCTATTTATGGAATAGTTTTATAGCTAGACGTAGATTAAAATATCTAGTTCAAAAACCATGCTCACCACCTCATCCATGGTGTGATTAATTGGGTGGGCAATACCAAATCGGAAAGATACCATTACTTTCAAAATAAAGTAGATCATTGCCTTGTACAGATCCTTGTTTAGAGCAAAAGTTGAATAAAAATATATGATAATGAATCGACTCGCAAGTCAGCAATAAAAGTACCATTACAGTAACTTAATAGCAAAACATATAAGTGAATCAATACCTGGTAATTGCCTGTGGAATCAAATGAAAACAAATGTGCGACATGCCATGTATACCACCAACAGAATGATAAAGAATCTTGTATATGATCAAACCAAGGTAAGGATGGTCCATTTATATGTTGAGAATCCTGCTGCTTGAGTCTTTTACTTTGAGAAACCTAAATTAAATTCAGAATGTAACCGAATAAAAGTACCATAATTCTATTGTCACACCAAAGACGGGCCAGCCTCAGGCCAATGCAACCCGTATGCAACCATGAGCCCCACACTTCCATTGGCCCAAATCTGGGTGTAAATTATTAAATTTGCTCATTATAAATTAGAATTATGTAGGCCTACTGTATAGATCTGCATATCTATTCTGTACATACAAGACTACAAGTAGTTACTTTAATCATAATTTTGAATTCGGCTCCCCACAATCAGTTAATAAATAATTCTGTCAGTCTACTTTACATCAAGTTGTGTAAATGGACTAAAACCTATTGGCAAGGGGGGATATTCACTTGGCTAACACAGACAGTCCCCGAACTCGTAATAGAACTAAAATAAGGAAAATCGGAATAAAATTATGGCCTAACCCAGTACACATACCACGGGAGTAACCATCAAACCGCTAAATGTAAGTGACTGTTTGTACAGAACCTCATTCAGAATAAAAATGTTACACATTCCGACTCCCGAGTACAAATCTCATGCCCACCACCTAACTCATGATGTAATAATTTTGGTAAAAAATTTCGAACTGAAAAAATTTCAGTCTTCACAAAAATAGTAGCTCCTGGTTGCAGCAAGGGGTGAAAATGAATGCAGTTTAAAAAAAAATAACTACAAAACCTGTATAATTGAGAAAAGCAATTCAGAAATCGTCTTCCAAACTGAAGGAGCAATTGCTTTTAATGGAAAATTCACACAACCAGCATCAAGTACATTGGACTGTGTATCCATTGAATCAAGATTATCTGTTGATTTTTGCGTTTGCAATTTTGATATAGTGTAGATACATAGAACAAGAAGTTGTTGAAGACACAAACATGGAAACGGAGTATTGTTGAACAAACTTGATTGAATAAACTGCCCTCCTGTATAATAAAAACCAGTATAATGAACTGTTGGAATGCAAGCATTTGGGCAATTAAAAAGGGGGTTTAGAACAAAAATACATGGAGACGTGATAAATGGTGACCGTACATTTGATCCCATGTGTATATCTGCGGGTTCAATCTATATGCGGGTGCTAAAAACCCATGGGTTAGGGTTAGCATGGGTTCAAATATCCGTGAAACAACAAAAAATTATCATAGGTGCAATAGTATGTAGGTGTAATTGTCGTGGGTTCAAATGTAATGGAACCGTGATAAATATGCACTTAAAAATGTGCAAGAATTAGTGTTTTTTTCCATTTTTGAGAGATACTGCTGAAATCGAAACAGAAAACACACATTGTACAAAAAGAGCAAAGTGAAATAAAAAATTGCATTTCAGGATGAAGGTAGAAGAAATAAACCAGTAACGGCTATTGTGCAGTGTCCTTACTTAGAAGTTAACATTAAATATAATTAGCATAATGGACAATTGGAGGTTTGCATATTTCATTGAATAGAAGTTACTGTGATGTTTTAATTTACTAACATAGGTAAACATAATATACAGATTACAAATTACATTAGTTCAAATGCTTACTATTATTTTTAAAATTTGCCGATAATTTGTGATATTTTTCCATTGCAAATCCTACTGTCTGAGTGATGATTTTTCCTATAATCTTCCGATGAAAATCCTGAGCATCAATCTCGATGCCGTTGTTGTAAAAGATCTGTGATGTGGAAAACAACAATTGCAACTGATTTCTTAAAATTATTAGTCTAGAATTTAACCATATCAAATACATAAGAATTAAGAATAACATAATGTTTTCCAAGAAATGTTGCGTATTTTGTGCATATCCAACTCTAAATTCTCTTCTGTCTGATCTCGATGGTTACAATGACGAAGAATAAATAAAATCTCATTTGACAAATTACAGGAACATCATCCCAAAACAACCATATATTTCGTGGTCTCTAATTATTGCTATTCCTACTTATCTTTTTAATAATATCCCGTCCAAGTATTCTTGGGGCAAATATTCTTGGGTCGCTTGTCATTCAACAAAAATCTATTTATTTGTTATATATTTGGTATTATATTGTTGCTCAATGGTAATTGTACATGTGGAAAATATCAAATTGTAAAAACTTGGTAGCATTCATTTTGCAAGGTAAATCCATGCCTTCACTTCAAAAACTCGGTGTCGGCAAACAAGGGCTGCATTCTCACTTCTAATTTCTGTTTTATATTAGTCATGAAGTTTGCAGGCATAAAAGTAATGCATGCTGTTTAGTATTTGAGCATGTCTATGAGTGGCGAGATTTTACATTATTTATTTTAAAAAATATTCTGATCGCTCAAAAAAAAAGGTTGGGAAACACTGATCTAGAACGATAGTTTTCAATCTTTTTGATGGAGCAAAACTGCAACGAAACATGGAATCCGTGTGCAATAGTTCAATTGTCTTTTATCGTCTGAATTGTATAAACTATGAATTAATATAAAAATCCGTTCCATGGCAAAATTGTTTACCTTGATTGAATCCAAATTTCTGGTAACAGATGGAAATTTTGCAATAAGTGGAAGGAGTTTAAGAAATGTAGAGTTGATGTCCACGTACACATGAAGCAATTCTCTGAGTGGTGTGCTTTTGATTCTTCCATCTCAATAGAAGAATGAAGATAAGTCTAGGAAGCAGTATCATGAGCAGCGAATTTATATAAATGTCATCAAAAAAGTTTGATTTACATTTTTAGCACATACTTTTTATTATCTCGAGTATATACAGGTTGTGTAGCATTATATTGTTTCCATCAAGAATGGCCAAATCCTAAGTAGTCAATTGTTTTTTAAAATGGAAACAAGAGAGAATCAAAACAAGGTACTTCAATTAACAATTTTCAGATATTAAATAGGTGTTATTGGAGAATTTAATTGCTCGAATAATTTTTTGAATAAATCTATTTCAAATTATTCTTAAAAATCAAGATATTCAAACTCAAATATTTAATATATTGAATTCCGAAACGACTTAAATAATCCATCTTCTCTGAAGATCTATATTTGTTTCATATAAAATAGTTTTCATAACTACTGTATAATTCCTCACCATATTCAGAAACTTCTATATCTTCCTCTGCTATTCCTATCAAACAATTTTGCAATGAATTCTGTATCTGATTATTCAACATCACTAACATATTCACTATCTGAATGATAGAATCTGTAATAAAAAGCAAATTAACAAATTGTTGCACAATACGTCAAAATTTCACGACAGCTCACAGCTGATTTTTTTTCAACTGTATTCAAATCAGAAAAAGTATCTTTATCCAGCGAGTCTATTGAAATAATTTCTAGTACAAAGTTTTTCAAATTGAACGTTCAGCTCCCTTTCAGAATCACAAGCAATGACTTTCATCAGGCCATTCACGCTGATTACATTGATTCAATGTGAATTGACTGCTATTTGTTCAATTTTTTGACAGTAACGCATAAATGTTTTGTTTTTGCTACCGTTTGTTAGCTTTTATTATTAAACGTGGTACCGGTGCATCAAATAACTGATGGAAATTCAATAAAAGCGAAAATTGGATATTTTCAGAAAAGACCAGGGGGCCACAAGTGTTGAGAGTCCTTTGAGAGAGGGCCACAAATAATGAAAGTTTGAGAACCACTGTCCTAGTGAATAAATCATGATTTGAACGATCTCCTAATATTTTCATCATAAGATGTATTGTAAAGGAGACAAAATAAATGTTAATTAATCATCATACAATAATTCAAACAAGGAAGCAAATGTATAACACTGGATGGCTCACCAATATTTCCTTCATCTTCGTTATTGTACGATTGAACAAATTCACAGACAAAAGAAAGTGTTTCATTGATTAATTTTCTGTATTTTTTTGCCACATTGACATAATGAATATTGTTCATGTTCGTCATTTTCATCCAAATTTTAACACAGTCATCAAGATCCTGAAGATACATCATGGCTGGAAAAGAAAATAAGCAAGTTATGACTCGAAAGTTTAACCTATTGTATAGAGAACATAACTTTTGTGCAATATGTCCTGGATTACTGAAACTTTGGGTACAATCATACACAAACAGAAGTTCAAGTGTTAAATAAATTTTCTTCATTTTAGAAGACTCAAGAAATTTATTGGTTCTGTTTTTGGGGCACCCTTACCTTATTAATAGTTAATTAATTGTTAGGAATTTGAATAATTCTTTGAATATGGGGCTATAACACCTTTTCCAGAAAGTTAGGTTAACAGACCTTGAGTCGACCACATAGATAACATAAGAATTCTAGATACATAAAAGAATAAGCACAAGACTATCCTGATTATTAATTAAAATATATTTGAATCAATGCGGTCTAAAATTATTTCATGCAAGTTCAATTTGTAGTAAAATATAGTATTTTTATACAAATAAAAGTGTAAAGATATTGTCACATATATTAGGTATATTAAAGAAATTAAGTGACATAGAAACACCAAAAGATAAGACTGTGGCGTTTTGTTGAAGCTGGAACTTAGCATAATAGATCAAGGTGGAGCTACTAGATATTTTAGTGGCTCCAGCTCTTAACCATTTACCATTATTATTTTTTCAGCTCGTAGTTTTTTTTTTTCAATTTCAACTGATTTACAAGAAAAAAAAATTAATATAGAAATGTACCTTGATAAAATAGGTCAGAGCATTCATCAGCATCATTCAAACAACTTAAACACTTATTTTCGTTCATTATATTTCGTCTGTAATCTTCACAATTATGAGTTGAATCTGTAATATCAGCAAATCTGGAACGAAATAAGTAAAAAGGCTTTTTACCTGTAATTTTCAAGTAAATTTAAACAAAACAAGATGCCAATGACAATTCAATTTCATGGGCATATCTCTTTGCATATGTCTTCATAAAACACTGACACTTTTGCAGTAAACTATTTTACAAGATGTCTCACAAGTTTGCTCCGAACAAGGCACCTACCCAACCACCCACTGAATAGTAGGGAGCTACAATAAGATATGAAACACAAAAACCATACTATCATAATACACATTCAATACTCTACTACAAATGACTTACGGTACTACGTTCCAATATGTATGTGCATTTCCAACATATGTTTCCTCAAAGCTGCTGTCAATCTCATACAAAGCTCTGTGAATGGTACGCTTGCATACAACAGGTCCAGGGTATTCTACAATGAAAAATTAAACACACAAGAAAAATTAAATTACATCTACTTTATGAAAAACAGCAGAGAAGCAAGTCGCATACATAATCAAAAATTGTACGTTGATTAATTTATAGGTATACCACATTCCAATCCATACCTACGCACTTGATATCGATTTTTCTCAAATTCTCGTCCCTGTGCTGAACACTCCTATGCTTTGCCTGAAAAACAATAATTTAATAATAAAAATTTTAAAATAAAATTCGCTTCATCCATTTTCATTTACTGATAGTTTGAAATCGATTAGTGGGTTTATTACGGTAGTTACGAATGGAAGACATTTTTTCTCGACAATAGCAACGGCAAGAATGTAGCAAAACAATCCACAGGAATGAAGTATAAATCATGTCCCACAAGTTCATTGTTGAAATCCTATTTCCTATTTTATATTCGTATTTACTATTCAAATTTATGTAAGTTGATTCCAATATTAATTAATAAACAATAGTAGTTAGTCTTACCCCAAGTATAGGTGAAGAATCAACAAAAGGTTCACTGTTCAATATTCCAGGAGAGAGTGGTGGAGTAAGAGATCCTTCAAAATCCATCCTTTTAGAACTTTAACAAATTACTTGATATAGATTAAAGCTAAGTCAAAGTATATACATTTTAACAATACAAATGAACAAAGTAATCCACAACAGTAGAAATATCAATGCAAATAGAGCAGACATTTTTCTCAGAAATGGTTGGTTGGAGAAAAAAAGAAAATGAAGCACAATATAGAATGGTGAAATAAAAAATGCAGAATATTCCGTATATACAGGGTGTTCATGGAGTCCTCTTACAATTTTAAATTTTGTTGTGAATTGATTCTCAGAATATACTAACCAGAATTGTTTTATTATAATAGTGTTTGACTAAATGAACGCCCCAGATTATGCATCACAATAACCTAAGCAACCTGCTTATATATACATTCCAAACTTTGTTATAATATGGCAAACCTTTATTCATTTACTCTACTATATCTGATTGATGATAATGTAGAAATACCAAACTTACAAATATTAAAATAGATGTTGATTATAAATTATCAATATACAGGGCGACCCCAAAAAACAGAACCTATAAATTTCTTCATTATTCCTACGAAAATTCATTAAACACTCCATTCTCTTGTGTTTTTGTACGAATGTACGCAAAAATTTCAGTTATCTTTTGTGGGTGCTCCAGAACAATGGTTCTGCACCGTTTATGACTCGTGGCCCCCGTCCGGGGGTGTTCAAGTCCCCCTGTTCATCATTCCAAAAATATGAGCACCCTTTCATACAGCACCGCAATGTACTTTGTTAAAGCCAAAGGCAGCGTAATTGTCATTGTCTCAGAAATTCAAATTATTTATTTGTATCTACAGTAGAATGTTAGTATCTACATAGAATTCGCAGAGCTCAATGGTATTTATAGTGTTATTTTGATTGGTAGATTCCAAATTCCATTCAAACAATTTATATACAAGAAAGTGAAAACACCCTGTGAAATAAACTTATCAGGCTATGAAGTTAGAAAAATCAATGCTGCGCCTAGTATTGTGGCCCCTAGGTGGACCACAGGCCCCCGGTTGGGACCCACTTAAGAATTCCAAATTACCTAGGTTCTGTTTTTTTATCATCTTGTATCAAAACAAAAACAACTCCAGTTAAAAAAATCTGTTTTCACTATTTATCTTTCATAGGAAGTATTTCTTTGGCAGTGCATTAATTAAGTTGGAAAAATGACAAGTGGAATTCCATGATGAGAATTTTTGTTTGTTAAGATCAATCAATCGAACGAATAACAATGTTCCAACGAAATCAATGACAAACAATAGGAAAAATCTGGGCAGTGAAATATAGAAAAGATGGCAACTGGAAATATATACAAAACTAAACTTTATTTACAAATCAAAAGTAAACTTTCGAGCATTCTAGACAAGTACAAACGAAAGAAAGCATACATAATGATTTTTTTAAATGAACCAATGAAGAAATTTTACTAGTTCAAAAATTTACTAAAACACATTGAATTTTATTAAATTCAATCATAGCATTATTTTTAACCTGTTATAGACATCCTAAAAGACAAAATTCGGAAAGCAATACACTATTTTAATTTGGTAGACTAATTGAGAATCAAAAAACAATCATCACATAAAAGACCCATGGCCATGAGTATAACTACGAAATATAAAATTGAGAGACTCAGTAATTGAATCAGTATTTATCAAAATAGGAACTACTGTACATCATTTAAATATCAACTGAACAACATGAAATAGAATGAATTCTAGAGTTCACAACGATTCAAAATCATGTTGAAATGTAAGAAAATTATGAAGCAGACATTTGTGTACGTTGAGCAACTTTCGCTGCGATCAAAGCAGGTTCAATCGTCACACTTTTTGTGCAGTTATCCGTCTTGTAAATTCCCACGAGACGATCGGCAAGTTCGAACATATTGTTTCGTAAACTGATAATGATAAATTGAGCATTCTTTGTGCGTTCCTTGATGTAAAACGCAATGATTGACACATTTTTAAAATCCAACGCAGCATCAATCTCATCCATAACATACAAAGGTGTCGGTCGATAATGGTGAAGAGCAAAAACAAGAGCAAGGGAGCTGAGAGTTTTTTCTCCACCAGAAAGATTACAGATATTTTTCCATGATTTTTTGGGGGGTCTAACGCTGAAAACAATCCCTTCTGAAAACGGATCCAAGGAGTCAACAAATTCCAATTCTGCGTCACCGCCGAGTGTAATCATCTGATACATTTCTTTCAATTTATTGGTAATCACAGAGAAACCGGCTGAGAATTCATTTAAACGTCGCTTACGCAGTTCATCATGAACACCTCTGTATTTATTTCGCTTTTCAGTAATCTCATCTAAATCCGCGACTCGTTGAAGGTAGACCTGTTCTTTTTTCTTAAATTCTTCGATCGCATGCATGTTTGGTTGCATATTGTTTAATTGAGCTTCTTGCATTGTAATCGAAGACTTTACAGTTTCTTCGTCAAAATTTTCTAACTCTTCTTCTGATAATGTAGGAAGTTCAGGTGGGGTTTCACCATCAATTGCAGTTAGTTTCAAGCTTTTAAGTCTGTCATGCCATTTTCTCAGAAGATCGTTCCTTTTTTCAATTTCCACGTTCATATCTTCGAGAGCATGAATTGATTCTCTATTACCTTCCTTCGTCTTGTTCTCACGTTCTTCAATTTCTTGAAGCGCCATTTGACATTCTTGTAATTGAACTCTCACTTCTGGTTTTTCTTTTTGAACTTCTTCTGTTTCTTTCAAAAGTTCTGAAGCTTCCTCTTCGAGTTGCGTCCATTGTTCTTCTAATTTTTTCAAATTTTCTTCATTCTCTGTGATCTCCAATTCTAGTGCTTCAATCGATTTTTCGCTTTTCTGAATGTTACGTTCAGCTGTATTAATACCAACTTTTAGTTTTGTGATTTTCTTTTTAGAAGCATTCATTTCACTGATGATTTTATCAAGAGCCTCTTGTGCTGGTTTCAGTTTCCTGCTGTTAATTTCATCAATTTGTTCATGGTAACTGTTTTTTTCTGCTTCAACTTTTTTAGATTTTGCTACAGCAGAATTGTATTCTTTCGTAACTTTATTCAACTTGTTTTTCATCTCTTCCTGTTTATTTGGATCGGGTTTCGTTTTCTTAACTTCTTTTTCACACGATGGTTTTTGTTGTTCCAACTGTTTAAGTTGAAGATTTAATCCAGAAGCCTCTTGTTCGAGCTCCTCCGTTCTACACTTTGAATTACGCAATTTTCTTTGGAGTTGTTCAACTGCTTCTTCAGCGAGTGCAATCTCACCCCTAAGAGAGCGTAATTTTGTCTCCATTGCTTCAGCTTCACTTTGCATTCTTCGCAGTTGCTCGAGTGGAACAGCTTCTTGTGCAACGCACTTTGATCCCATACGACCTTTCACTACTCTGTTACCGCCACCAGTCATAGTACCGGAAGTATCAATGATCTCTCCTTTTATAGTGACTACTCTCCATCTGCGATCTTTACCATAGGCTACCTTGGTGGCTTCAGAAAGATCGCTAGCAACTAAGGTATCACGTAAGGCGTGGTAAAATGCAACTTTAAACTTTTCGTCACTAACACGTATCAAATCGACCAAACGAGGAAGTGCAGACCTTGGTTTGTTTTGAACTTGTGACCTATGGCGATCCATTTTATCCAATGCAATGAAGGTTGCTTGACCAACATTATTCACCTTGAGAGCTTGAACACATTTCTGTGCAGTCTCAATATTATCAACGAGAATATTTTCTAGTGCGGGACAACAAGATGATATTGCAACATCATATTTTTCATCAATAGCTCCCAAATTTCCAAGTCTCCCATATATCCCAGGCAATTTTCCAGATGTTTTCAGTTGCATTAAAAAATCTGTTACTTTCCCCTGAGATTTGGCAGATTTTGATGAATGTTCTGCATCTGCAAGATGTCCTCTGGCAGCTTGTAGTTTGGTTGACAAATCTTGTTCCTGGGTTTTAAGATTTTGTAAATGTTTTGTTTTCTCTTTTAATTTTGTGTCAAGCTCAGGTAGAGAATGATTGAGATTCTCTCTTTCTTCTCTGCTGCTTTCCAACATCCTAGTTACTTCCTGAATTCTTGAAGTGACCTTTTCAAGAGCAACTACGGCATTTTCATGGTTGCTTGTATAAATTTCAAGTTCTGCTGCCGCCATATCTTTTACCTGTTTTGTATCATTTACAACTTTCATCAATTCCATGAGGGGTTTCTCCTTTTCTTCAATCTTCATCTGAAGATCAGATGTTTCATCTTTCAAACTCCTTGTGACTTCAGTAAGATTATCATCTGCTTCTTTTTTCCTTACTGCAAAACCCTCGAGTGCTTTGGTCAATGTTTCTAAATCCCGTTCATGAGCGCTTGGCACTTCTTGGAGTTCCTTGAATTTGCGTTTTTCTTTTTCAACTTTTTTGGCTAAATCTTTTGCCTTTGCTTTTGCGTGTTTGCGATCTTCAAAGACTTTGATGTTAGTCTGTTCTAATTCACCCATTTTATCTTTTTTTTGCTGACACAACGACTCTTGCTTTTCCAACATCTTTGAAATCTTTTTGACTGTTTTCACTTTCTCTCTTCTTTCCTCTGTAATCATCTTGAGAGCTTCTTCCATTCCAGTCATTTTTTCTTTCAGAGCATCTCGCTGTACAGCATATTCTTTCTCTTCTCTGCTAATATTACTAATATAATTTTGAACAAGTCTGTTCTGCAATTCAGCCATTCTATTCTGTGCTTTTAAGAAGTCAAGTGCTTCATCTCTCAAAGGTTCGAGTTCATCTTTCTCTTTTTCGACATGTTTGACTCTTGCGAGTCTTTCGCCACGTTCTTCACTCAACTCTTCTACCAATTTTGCCAGTTTCTCAATTGCCTCCTTGAACCGAGAAGAACCAATGATATCTTCTAAAAATTCCAGCATTCCTTCATCATGTGCTGTTTGTGCTTTTGGTTTCATCATGGCAATTTGTTCAACTTCTCCTTGCAGAATTAAAAACCTATTGTGATCCAGATCAATTCCACTTGAACGAAGGAATTTGGCTACTTCCTTAAAATGAACTCTTTTTCCATCAATGCAATAGTAAGATGAATTATCCGAAGAAGCAGTACGAGAGACACAAAACTGACTGTTGGGCACAACTTCAAATTCATCTTCACTTGTATCAATAATTGATTGAAAATGAACTTCAACAGTACAACTTGTTGCATTTTTATGATTTTCACTGTTGTGGATCATCACTGATACTTTTTTTGACCTCAATTTGTTGGAACGATACCCAAAAACGAAAAGCATAGAATCAATAACATTGGACTTTCCACTTCCGTTTGGTCCAACAATTCCAGAAAAGCTTTTGTGAAATGGTCCAAGTACTTGAACTCCAGCATATGATTTAAAATTATGATTCACAATATGAGTTATCATAAGCCGTGGTTCGCCTGCAGCACCGACACCAACAGCCAATGGTTTAGGTGGGATTGTAATTCCCTCTGGAAGATCAAGTTCCGCTACTTCTTCACTTCTTTCATCATCTAACTCCATTGGTGGCTCTGTGTCAGGATCAGGAGTATCCATCTTATTATCTTCAGTATTTTCTGTGGCAGTTTTAGTCATTTTAATATACTTTATTTAAAAAGACCAGGAAAAAAAATATCACAATATTAGTATCAAATATAAATACGAAGCAGTGCAATGACCTAGCGATTGAGGCATTAAATTTAACTGTGTTGGTATTCTGGTATTACAGATTAAACATATCAGGTCCTAATCCCATGTCAACCACCTCACCCAGTTCGGAATACATACATTCAGACATTGAGATAACAATGCCGAAGCGGAAAGATTCAGGTGGTTCCATACATGCAAAAATACGCACTCGTAGCAAGTTTGAGGACTTGGTTCAATAAAACAAACACCCTATTTGTCTCTAAAATGAGGAGTGTCTGCTATGACAACCCAGACTGTCCCGTAAAAAGGAGGTATAAATTGGAAAACTAGTACCGCCCAATAACCTAAAAATGGAAGCGCAAGCTAAAAACATCATGATTGAATTCCTTGGAAAAAATCATCCGATTTATCAAATGAAAAAAAAAATTTTACCTTAGCATTCAGAGAGTTTTCAGATGAAAATGCCATGTTGGTCACATGACGGCCGTGATTAATTTACCATAGATTATAATCGAGACAAGCATGGAATGATCTGACGCATCTGCCTTCAGACACTCTCGTTTCAGAGACAAATAAGAATGTTTTTTTATTGAAACAAATGTCGGGACATCTTGAAATAAGAGAACTGTGTCCTACTGGATAAAGTACCCTTTGAAAACAAATTCTATGGGAGTGGCATAAATATAATTACCGATGGAGTTCATCATAGTTTGTGTTGGCGGATGCGTCAAATTTTTTGACCATATTGGCGCTATAGAGATTATAGGGGAAATCATGCAATTCTAATTAGGGATATCGCCTAAAAATGAAGTGGAGGTAATAACGCTTATGCAGAACATTCTGGTTCGCTCAAAATTCGGAAATTCATATAAATTAACACTAAAAATATGATCATTCTGATGTCCAGCTACAATACAGTGATGAATATTACTTCTTAATATATACTAAAACTTCCCACATGCTAGTCTACTGCAGTGAAACATTAATTAGTCTAGGCATCTGAGTTCAGGCTGTCGCAAGAGTTGGTCCGTTCTGCCGTTTGCAGGTTTGTTTATTATAAATATCAGTCTGTCAGTGACAAAACTTGTAAACTGTTACTGTGTTAAGGTACGTAAAAATGAGCTTTGGTCAAGCATGCGCCCAGACATAGGCCTATCATTCAACATGAGTGTCATTATTATTACATTTGGCCAACATTTTAAAAACTTACTGCATTCCCTTTCTACCAAATTTTATGTCTTGTCAACAGAAGCCAGAACAGCGAGACAGCAGAATGCTCAGATCTGCTGATACGGTACCGGTAGTCTACGGCAGGGGTGTGCAAACTGCAGCCCGCTGGCCAAATGCGGCCCGCAAGAAGAAGTTGTGCGGCCCGCGGAGAAATAACAATTTCGAATGGTGTACCCGCAAAACGAGTATTTATTCTTTTTCGTCGCAAAGCCCATACCAGTCATATTACTGTATTACTGTATTAGCAAAACAAGCTAGCAAAATTCTGTTGCAAAATACACGATTTATATTACAAAAACGTGTTTCTCACTAAATTCGTTTGAAGTCGGTGTGACAAAAAATTTAAATATCAGTTTCTAGTTTCTTCAGAAGTTTATGCGTTTTAAATCTACTATTTCTGCAAGAACCCTTAATAATGCCGTGAGATCAATAGCAAATATAGGCAATTTTTGTGCTTGCAACTACCAGAAAGCCTAAATTAAATAAAGGCGCGGCCCGCGGCTTCACCCAGTTAGGCTACTTGTATTTGGCCCGCCAATAAAAAAGGTTGCACACCCCTGGTGTCTACGGTACGGTACCGGTACGGTACTGCAGTAATGCAAGTAGGTACCGGTACTGAAATGGCATTATGTCAAAACTGGACAAGTTATACGAAAACCGATAGTATGTAAGTTACCGTATATACCGTAATTACTTTTCGAAACGTTTTTGTTTTTCAGTACAATGAAAAATATCGACATATACCGGTACCGGTATAAACTATTCGTATACCTGTCACTCATGGACTATATGAATATCAAAATAATACATCAAATATAATAGAAAGCGCGGGAATCGCGAGACCACGAGATGGCGTAGCCCATAAGATTCGTCATGAATGGGCCATTTCACGGGTACAAAAATGCATGAATATAAACTTACCCGGATCAATCAAGGATGGGATAGGATTTACATATTTATCCCGAGGGAGGGGAAAGCCGATAAGACGGCTTAATCATATGGCGAACCACGGCCTCTCGTCCAGTTACCAGTCCAGGTCTGGTATGGGATTATTAGTTATCCCGTAAATATGGTTAGCCAGTTATTTGTTTTCCGAAGCATGGACTTGATGGTTGAGGAAGCCGTAATAGAATGAGGCCATCGATGAAAAAAGGTAAGCAACATACAAATGGCAAATCGATAGTAATAACTCAGTAATAATCGATAGCAATGAGTCTACGAATCTTTCTATTTCATATACCCCAGAATATTTAAAATTGATGCTTTTGATGTAAACACCAGAAAGCGTGGATACCCGTGATCAGTGGCGCAGCCCATGGGGGGTTCAGTGATTTCCCTACACCCCCCCCCCTAAAATTTCAAACACTCCCCCTAATTTTGAGGTGCGATTTTCACACTGAGGGGTTCTAAACCGCAGTCTGCGGGTCAATTACGGCCCGCGCGACGATTTAAAATGGCCCGCCGAACTTGAGTGAAATAGTTTAACCCTTCATGTGGTACCTTTTGAGTTTTAGATACCGTCTATTGTTACATCATTATCACAGTTTAAGCACGTTTATTTCGTAACAATTGAATTATTCCGGTATCTTATGTATACGTATGGGTATTAGGATTACACACTGCAGTATTTTAGATATCAGCCGTATATTAAGAAAGCTTAAAGATGTCACAAAACGAAAACTAGGCAATGAAAATGACGTTTTTTAGATGAATGACAGCGTTTTTATTTCTTTATTGAAAAGAATCAAACTTCAGCGATTTTTCTTCTTACCAACAAAATATTTCAGTTCTGAAGGAATACAACATTATGATCAGTTGACGAGCTTATTTCAAAATTTAATTCATACAAAAGTCAAACAAACATGTTCAAAAAAATTAGAAATGTGTAACAAAACAAGCCATAAGTAGCCATTCATACAATGCCAGATAAGCAAGTAACTTCATTAGTCACTATCAGTTGCAAATTACTTGTTGAAACGTAGTAGTATATATTTACGGTTGAAAGCCGTACTTGTTATCTATTCCCCGGGAATTCTATCAGCTAAATTTTATAATTATTGATTTCATTACATAACAAACTGCGATGCTAGGTGTATCTAAAATCAAGCTTAGAGCCTATTTTGGTGCCTATTTCTCAAAATTTTCTCAAAACCCCAGCCGTGTCGTCCCGCATTTTACCTCGCTCCCCTTTTCTGGCCCTACATTTTTATTCTTCTGTGGATTTTGGCTCGCGTCAATCATCTTGGTCAATCAACAATGTACATCGTTTCTTAAATACATACCATTTTGTTAAGAATACAAATAGCCTAGTTTTATCTCTAATAGCAAATTATTTACCACCCCCTAAATTTTGAAACACCCCCCCTAAAATAAAAAGCTGGGGAACATACTGGGAGGGTTCGACCCCAAATTTTTTAAAAACTGAAAAAGTCGCCAACAACGCGTGCAATTGCATTTTGCGAAAGTCGCCGATTGTTTTCGTCATCGTGACATGTTATTCAGGCCTAAACGCTTTTACGTGGGTGTTTATTCTCTCTAAATTTTCCACAAATTTGTGCCACGATAACGATGATAATTAGTTTATTTTTATACTGGCACAAAATTGTGAATCCGGTGAGAGTTATCGTACGTTTATCGGCGGCAAGATGCTAAAGGCAAATGAATGAGTGAACCCGCGACGCAATTTTTTTGATTGAAAAGCGGGAATATAAAATACTGAAAATGAAGCCGTAAACAATATAAGTTTTGTTGTAGGAGGCCCGCAACAGTCTGATAAGCTTCTTTAGGCATTTGAAATAGAAAAATTTTGTGTGCCTATGGTACACATTTCGTTTGGTCGTCGTTAAGAACCAACTATATCGTTACTAAAATCAAAACACAGTCAATTGTGTGCGGGATTTAACTTTTTATTCATTAATTGAAATTTCCTTTGAAAATTTTTGTGTTAACATTATACGAGGTTGGAAACGCTACTTTTCCCGAGTTGTGATGCTATATATATAAGATAATTGATCTAAACCTAAAGTATATTCAATCAATTTTTATTGTGCTGAAATAAATTTTACTCTGTTAGATTTTACAGCAGATTTACAGATTTTTTTAACGGTTTTACCTAAAAAATAATCTGAGTGCTAGCATTGCGATTGAGCGGAGTCAGTGTTGCAAGTACGGCTCAGATTTGTCGAATTCGCAAAATGGCAAAAATACGGATCAAAACAAAATATAATCGAGCAGTTTATCACATATTTTTATGTCTTCGGATTGCCGTGGTATTCAGGCTTAATTAAAGACAAATATTTTTATTTCTTCAAATTTTCAAATTAGATCAAGATCATCTAAAAATTTTTTTTAATTTTGAATATCATGATTTTAATTACCACCATTTGAAAAAGTCATATTGCATGTACGAATTATAAAATCATACAATATATATATACCAAATTATCAATCAAATATATATATGTAGATATTACATCCATGTCCATTTGAAGTTCAGTATGGTTGATCCATGTCATAATAATAATTTATAATTATATTACCATTAGTGAATAATTTGCATGGAAAAATAAAAGTTTTAAAAAAATTAAATGGGAATAAGAAAAACTTCCATATCATGATTATAGGGTTTTTCTACTTACTATACATGTCAATGATCCACAATAAATACGATAGATACCTTTGAAATTTAAATGAAATAACACTATACACATATATATTTAAAGCATAAACAAATATAATAAAGCGAGACAATTTAAAATAGTCGGTATCAGCCATGGTTTGATAACTTTGGACAACAGAAAAAACATTATTCGGTAAAAAAAAGTCGGCTCTTTGAACAAGTGGCTTAATCGAGGCGAATGTTCCGCTTGGATTTCGAGGCGATGAATATGTATTTTTGATTTACTGCTAAACTTTATATATATGTATTTTTATTGTACGAGATTGAATTGTACTTTACGGGATTTTATATCAGATCTTAAGAGTTTTCTAACGGCGATAACGAGTTCGGAATATTGCAAAAATACGTATCGAAACTAAATACTAGAATTCGGTTGGAAACCGAAGACTTATCGATCGAAGGTTAGGGGATCCCCCAAAACAGTGGTCTTACTCCATAGGGACACCGTGTGTCTCATCACTAATTAATTAATAACTAGCTAATTATACGACATGCGTGCATCTAACAGACAAACAAACAAACAAATACCTATCCACATACTTACCAATCTTGAGATCGATAGGTAACAATTGGGCAGTTTATCTCATATTTTTATTTCCACAGATCGCCGCGGTATGTTACAATAACCACGTTTTTATTTTGACGTAAGAAGACGTAATCGCAAGTTACGTCGGGCACAATATATAAGAACTTTTGGATTCTCGTAGTTTTCATGGATTGAATATTTTACGTGACAGAAAAATCATTATACGCCGAAAAAGACGGCTCTTTTAACGATCGCGTAATCGCGGCCGTTGTTTCAGACGGTAATTTCCGATTTTGAAGGAAAAGTTGCTATGTACCAGATGCCAGTGAAACAAAGTAAAAAATACTGATTTGAGTGTATTCGGCTTCAAACTGTGTCTTAATATATAAAATAAGCAAAGAGTTTGCGATAATTCATGATATAACTGGGAAATATGTGGTTTCCAACCTAATTCGGCGCCAATTGTTACCATCAAATATTCATTGATTTTATTTTTCTTAATTTTTCCCACATCTCAATGTATAATGCAGAAACTCATGTAATGGTTGTCGAACTAACTTTCACGAAATGGGTCTAGAAAATACCAGACAATGTAAGCATTTTGCTATAGTATATATTTGTTTTTATGCAATGAGATGTACGCAATGAATGATATTCTGAATATTCATTCCTTTGCGTTTCTCATAACTACTACGACGGTAAATGAAGATTATACCGCTCCGCTTTAGAACCTTGAGCTATTCTTCTGCGACTTATTTGGTCACACCTCGTACTCTTGATTTCTCGCAAGTTTTCAGAGAGTCCACATTGACCAAGAGTTCAGGTCACATCACACTGAAACACATCCATGTGTAAAATGTAAGACACGAAATCCATAAGCAGCTGGAAAGTTAGAATTTTAGCTTTTATTTGATAAAATTTGTAAAAATAATATGTAATAATATTTCAAAATATAACATATGTTAATATTCTTTGTTTTTATTAAACACTATATATTCGAACAACGCTTGCAAAAATTGTCTTTACAAATAAAAATTTACCAATTGCGAGCTGAGAACAACTGACTAGAGACAGAATTTGAACAAACATGTGTGCAAAACATTTATTTTGCATCTCGAAATAATATACGTTCTGCAACATAGATAATTAAATTTTATACTGACAATATTTTTATCTGTAATCTTGTGTTTTGACGACATTATCACTTAAACAAATGATAGTATCTCAAGGTGTATTTTAAAAACATTAGGAGTGTCTATGTCAGGGGTCGGGAACCTTTTTGGTGAAGAGAGCCATGAAAAGCACATATTTTCGATTGCATTTCCGTGCGAGCCATATATATTTTCTTCCCCTAATCAGGCCTGAAAATTTTACTCAAAAGTCAACACATTCTGACACTGCATGTTGTCGCTGAGGGCCTTGAACGGCTGCTCACATGCAGCACAAGTTGAAACCTACGATACTCCTCAGTGTCATCACCCTTCTTATGTTTAGGCATCTCCACAGTATTTTAAAAACTAGCTTCGCTAGTCCGATTCACATATGACAAATATTGTAACCATTACGTACAAACGGACGATGAGCTTTTCTCTATTGCTCCGCGACTTTATCGATTTTTGATGTCACAATATGTTCCAGAATCCCCTAGTTTTGTCACAATGCCTGTCTGGTAATTCTCTCGCATAACATAGACATGCGCTGGGCGCGAGTTCTCAAACTTATTGGCAAATTTGGCTATAAAAGAGTTTGAAATCTCATAACAATAGTAAGCTTAGCCTTAGAATATTAGGTTTCCTGGGAGCCATATGCCATCACCAAAAGAGCCATACATGGCTCGCGAGCCATGGGTTCCCGACCACTGGTCTATGTTAATACAAGAACATAGTAAGCCCCAAATTTTCAGTATTCTGTCCGTTAGTAATCTTATCCAACTTCATTAAACTGTACTTGGCTTCATATTCTGTGCTATAGCTAATAGATTCCAATGCATTCCCAATAAGCATATGCTAATAGTTAGTATGATTTCAACGTACCATACTTCGAAACCCAAAACCGAACAGGAATCGAAAAATTAAAAGCCTCAATAAGGCCAATTTCGCACTCGACCCAGCTGAAACAAGGGATTTTTGCAGCGAACGATGTGCTTTTTTTCATATGCAACGAACCCTTTAGCTGGACGGCGTAAAAATGCAGGGAACAATGGATTACTGAGCAAATATTTGGAAGTTTCCACTCATTGTATATATGATCATTGGTCAGTAACACCAGAAACACATAAAAAGTCCGATCCCAAATAGACCGTACAATTGGAAGCTCTATTTAACTGTGGAAGTAACCGCGAAATGACAGGAATTCAACAACAAGAATAACTTTGAATACTCCAAGTAAATACTTTCATGTTCATCAACAACACACAATCTCCAAACAAGGGAGTATATTACGATCATCTAATTTACTGTAAGTTTTGATTTAGCAATGTTAGGTTCTATAAATATAGTGATACAAACCGATATGCCTCTCCACAAAGCTAAAGAACATAAAATGACTTCGTTGAATACTGATAAGACATTTCCAAGTGATCAACCACCCAAACAGGATGTAGGATGTTTAATTATTTCTTATTCCGTGTTTTTGTTATTGTATATATATAAGGGATGATGAATATCCATTCCATTCTGTCTTGTAGACATTCGACGAACAGGCATAGCGCAGCAGCGTTTGCTATCACGCTCATCGTCGCCCTTTAGACATGACTAACGCCTTCCAATAATTCCGTTTATAACCACGGCACGAACAAGAAGGATAATTAAAATTTCGGAAGAAATTACATTCAGAAATGTAGGGAGTCAAAATAATGGTAAATTTTCTTTAAATAATTTTTTTTAGTTCGGGCGCGGATGACACGGGCTATCCTTTGACACGTCATGCCTATGCCACTGTCGTGTCAATGTTCCTCAGCGCATAGACGCAGAGTGCCAGCAACCGTGGGAATTTTTTGATGTATTGGGTACCGTACCGTACCGTACCGTACTGCAGGATACTGTGAGGAACAGATAATTTTAGACAGCTTCTGCTTTAATTTTTATAAATTTAGTCTGTGAAACCGTCAAACTTTTTCGGTGAAACCGTCAGACATTGGTTCAAATCTGCAAACGGTAGGCATCCGCTTTTAATTTTTGTGACACATGGTAACAATTCAATGTACAGTAGTCTATGACAAAACTGAAAAAAGTTATTTGGCTATATGAAAAATATCATGTTAAAAATTCCTGATTGGCGATGGATTAATTTTGCAAAAAAAAAGATAACATCAATATATTCAGGCTTTTCCAAGAAAGAAAAACTGGCTAGCGTAAGTTCTCAGTTTATCGAATTTTTATCTAATGATAATAAACCAGAGTCCTGGAATAAAGCCTTGTGGCGGGTGGATATAACATCGCCATTTTAGTGGGGACAACCATTTTTGTGGGGACATTGCTGACATATAGACTAGACATATGGGACATAGCCAGCTACCTTGTGTGGTACCGGTACCGGTAGGCCTACAGATGTAAGTTGTATCGTTTTACTTGAATAACAGCATACCAGTATACTTCAAGTTTTAAGTATACTTTAAGTTTTACTTTAGAGTATCATTTATCATAGTTTTTCCTGAATTTGAGTTCATGGATTTGAACTTTAACAAATTCATGTCATCTGTCATAATGTAGTAATACTAGTAAATGCATATTTGTATAGTGCCCCTATCAGATTATTATAGTCTGCATTTATAAAATGAATAGGCCTATATTATACAAATTCAAGAAATCCTGGAATGTTAAATTCCAAAGTTATTAATTTAAAGTTCTGCATACAAAAACTGAGCGGATTTGTGGTTATCAATAATTTCTGTTAAATGCTTTTCTATACTTCAGTACTTACAGAATCTCTCTGAGGTAATAGTATAATAAGTCCAAAATACTGAACTGAATTCGATAACGTACAGAGAATTATGAGGAAGGTGTATATTGCTCTCCTGTCTGTTTTATTCATCTTTAAAGTGTGCAGTGGACATGGAGACCATGATCATCATCACCATCATGAGGATGAAGAAACAATGATAAGAGCTGGGAAAGAGAAATGGTTTAAACCACCTGCAGATGATGAGCATGAACATGATGCTCACCAAGGTCATGAACATCATCATGACCACCATGGGCATAATCACGGCCATGACCATCATCATGGTCACGGCCATCAACATGGCCCTGGTTGCTCTCATGGGCATGGGCATTCTCACGATCATGGACATGCTCATTCTCACGATCATGGACATGCTCATGGTCACGATCATGGACATGCTCATGGTCACGGACATACTCACGATCATGGTCATTCTCACGATCATGCTCATGGACATTCTCATGATCATGGCCATGGTCATTCCCATAAAACAACTCCCAAAGTAAAGAAGCCACGTACTTTCACTGAGACTGTGGACATGTGGTGGCAAGCAATATTCGCTACTATCCTCATAAGTGCGGCACCATTTTTTATATTATTTTTCGTTCCACTTGAAAGTAATTCAGCAGAGTATCAGCCTTTGTTAAAAATTCTTCTTAGTTTTGCATCAGGTGGATTACTGGGTGATGCATTTTTGCATTTAATTCCTCATGCAATACATCCTCATACCCATGGGGAGGACGGAGAGCATGATCATGGGGACCATGATCATGGCCATGATCACACAGGCACAACAATTGTTGGACTCTGGGTTCTTTTTGGTATTGTATCTTTTCTTGCTGTCGAAAAATTTGTAAGGCATGCTAAAGGTGGTCACAGTCACCATCACCATCACGATGAACATAAAAAAGATGATGATAAAAAGGATGCTGATGCTTCTGAAGACGCTGGGAAGGAGACTGGAGACAAAGCAGATGAAAAAGTTCAAGAGGAACAAAAAGGGAGCCAGGATGAAGGTTCACAATCGGAAGGTGAAACTCAAGTAAGACAGAGAAAAAAGGGAAAGGAGGATGAAACTAAAAAAGAAGATGAAAAAGATGATCAGAAAGACAAAGATGAATCACCGGTAGAAGAAGAAGGAATGAAAGTTGCTGGATATTTGAACCTTGCTGCTGATTTCACACATAATTTCACTGATGGATTAGCAATCGGTAAATTATTTTTGTCATATAGAATCAATGTGGTGTTTTTATCAAAAAATGTGTATTCTGAAATAGAGTTTTTTACTTTGTATGCACCCAAGTTCAAATTCTTTTATTAAGCAATGTGCAGGTAACTGGCATAATGAGCATAACTTTAAAAGCTTCCTGTCTAAAAGTATAAATCTTCATAATAACATCAATAAAACTTTCCAATATAATGAAGTTTAAATCTCTCTAAATGACCATCACAGTTGCGAACTATTTATTGCATCGCAATTTATCTAACTTTCTAATACGTCTTACCCTCACGAGTCCAGATTCAAAAATTTTGCACCAGAAGAATGTGAAACTCTGGAATGAGTTAGATATGCTTATGATATGAATTGATGTAAAAATTATGCAGATTATCAAAATGGTCATTTTTCTTTTAAATGAAGAACATCACTATTTTACTTCAGGTGCTTCTTTTCTTGGAGGACAGACTTTAGGAATCATCACAACTCTTACAATTTTACTGCATGAAGTTCCTCATGAAATTGGAGATTTTGCCATTCTGGTACAATCCGGATGTACCAAGACCAAGGCCATGTTTCTCCAGTTATCTACTGCCACGGGTAAAGGATTCTGCATTGTTATATTTAACCAATCAGAAATCGTATGATGTTTCTAATATATTCATAATTACAGTATACGTAGTTTATGTCATTCTTTGCCTTTGGCAGAGGATATTAAGTTGGGCTTAGCTCTGTAATCTGAAAAGCTAAGAATACTCCTAGCAATCTGTTAGTAATTGTTTCACACCCGAATGTGTTTTTTTCAACCTCACAGGAAGAAATTTGTGTGGACTTGTATATTCTGGGATGCTTCTTTTCTCACTTTCGATCAAGTCTTCTATTTCAATATTTTATATCAAAATTTAAAATGTAAACTACCGTATATAGAAAGCCAGACAAAAATGGTGTGTCATAAACAAACTTTCAAATTTAGTAGTAGGTTTATTTCTGCGTTCAATTATGAGATTGTCACCTTGTAAAATATATTATTTTAATAGGTGCAATGGCTGGTTGTATTTTAGGCCTTTTGGCTGAAAACGTTGGTGAGTCTGCTGTGTCTTGGATTCTTCCATTTACTGCAGGTGGATTCATTTACATTGCCACTGTGTCTGTTATCCCAGAGTTGTTAGAAGAAGCCAAACCAAAGCAATCTATCAAAGAAATCTTAGCTATGTTTGTTGGAATAGGCATGATGGTTTTGATAGGATTCCTGGAGTAATGAATTTGATTCATTCTACGAATTGCTTGAAATGATCATGTTGGATCTATCTAGAACTTTAGCTAATTGTAACTATCCTGCTGTCTGAGTTATTGAAACTAGTATGAAATATTTTGATATGAAGCTATTATATTATGTATTATAAATATTACCTTATCGAATAACTTATTCCTTTTTTTTTGTTTCTCCAAAAAGTGCTACTTTGTGCGATATTCTCTTATGGAAGAATTTAAAATATTTTTCAATTAGGAAATGTCATTTTGTTGCCTTAAATAAGGGGTTCTCAGCATTTATGTTCTTGTTTACCTCCTGTAAGTAAACTTTTCCCCCTTTATAGTTAATCATATAATCCTATAACTGTTCAAAAGGGCCTTGGAAAAAGGATCTGAGTTCACTAATTTTTAGCATTGTTGCATGATACAAGAGCTATGTGGACTCGAACTCAGTCAATCGGGCATCTACATTCACAATCTTTTATTTATTATGACTAATAAATAGGAAATTTTCCCCAAATGTTGGTCAAACTTACCCCGCTTGAGAACCAAATGAGCTAAAAGTGTTTGTCCGACATGCTATTACTTAGCCAATGAACTAAATCTTACATGATGATAGGTAATTAAATCACAATGCAAAATATTGTTCATTCTCGCCTTCATGATGTATCAGTCACTAGAATTATTTATTTTCTATATTGAACATTGCACAATTGAAGCTGCCATAGAATTATGTATGAATGTTTTGCTATTTTACACTTCCGATTGTACATGATGAAATAAATATTGGTGATGAAATTATACAATGCATGTAGATGGTATATGCTACAAAATATGTGGCTCATGTAGAATTGACGAGCTTCTGTGTTCTTCTGCCTATGCCATAGAGATAACGACTAAGAAGTACTTACTAATAGGGCATACCACTGCCTTTCATCTGGTTATCATTAGGGCTGGGCAAAATATTCGAATAGCGAATCGAATATTAAATTATTCGAATGGCATTTTACTATTCAAATATAGGGTACCACGTGATCTGCGCCGCTTCACTTGGACACAGAACGTCTCTGAACCGATCGTGAATTGCGCGAGAATTCACCTACAACGCTCGCTAACAGACAAAAGCGACAAATTTGAAAAATCGTCTCTGCCTGGTGGTGTTATTTGTTTTCTTTGCGTTTCGATCGTTCATTTCAATTCCCTATGTTGCACAAGGAGGTACCGACACCGTTCCCTAAATTTAGAAACTTAAATCAGATGAGGTATTTAAAAAAAATATTCCAGATTTTAAACTCCGTATGATTGACGGCACGTGATTAGCCGTTTCATGCATGCAGCATGAACCAAACATGAATTTGTTTAACGAAAATTAAAAGTTGAATTAACTTTTGCGTGAAACCATACATAGTATAACACGAACAAGCTATGACCAGAAAAGAAATGGCAGGACATAGTTCTTTTAATGTACTTTCAAATAATTCTTTAGTGATTTCTTTCATTCTTGACCAAATATTGTTTCGAAAGTGGAAACATTTCACCAGTGGCGTAGCAAGACTTTAGTGGGCCCCCCGCAAAAATATTTCGTGGAAATGACCCTAAAAACTCTCGGACATAAGCTAAAACAACGCTTTTTTTTATTTAGTCAAAAAGCATAACATGTCGCTTATAAGGCAATGGTAACCTAAAATTTGCCGTTTATCTTGGTTACTTTAATTTTTCTCATACGTGCTTCCTCTCCTGCGTTTCTGTGCGCCACTGAGAGGATTTGCTTTCGACATCATTCTGACAGCCTTCGTAATTTTGCCGGTGCGATCAAACCACGAGACGCCGAATATCGACGACTTCCTGTCATTGTTACGTAACAAAACGATTTGAGCAGAACTAACATCAACGTTTTAAGATGTGCATCGCGGGTTTTGCAATGCAGCTTTTGGTTTTGCGGCTTAAATTTCTAAATTCTAACCGCTTGGGCCCCTTTGCGCTGTGGGCCCTCCCGCGACCGCGGGAGTGGATGCTACGCCACTGCATTTCACTCGGGCATGCATGGCGGGTGGCAGTGTAGAAATCGTGAACAGGAGTATGGCGTAAAATCAATCGTGAATTTCGATGTGACAACGCGCACTGTCTCGTTCACGAATTGTTGTATCGTCGGGAATGATTACATTCGTTATATTTTGAGCATTTTTGCACTAATATACAGGGCTTGACATTATCAAAATTTTCAAGAGAAGTAAAAGTGAATTCGCAAATTCCGTAAATAAAATTGTGAATTACTTGGTAACGATATTAGCTATAATGATCGCGCGGTTTATTGAAATAAAACGTCGGAACTTGGAAGAGTTAGTTATATTTAGCGCCTGGCCATCTATTAGGCATAAAAGTAAATAAGCGCAATTTTTTTCAGCATTAAGTCGCATATGTAAATTATTATTCAAGAAGCGCTGTTTATTAACCTCATCTCGTCATATGGCCACGCAGAAATGCCTTTTTGTCGAATTATATAGTCACTATTTTAAATCAACATTCGGGATTGACGCAATCGCAGCTTTGCGAGGTTTATCTGTAAAGTAACATAGATACCATAGAAAAGCATAGCAAAGTTAATTACGGTATTGTCTTAATAAATATCTACATCCCGGTATCGATAATAATATTACCGTTCGCTTAATATTGTGACGGTAAATTTATAAACGTTGATAAGTAATATATATGAAAGCCAACGCAAATGATAAAAATTAGAATAATTTGGGTTTTTACATCAATCCTTAATGGTTTGAAAAGCTGTTTCCGACGTGAACGCACGGGTAAACCCGAAATATAAACGTCGATGTCCGCCGACGCGAAAGTATTAATACTTGCAAATAACAGAAAGGGCGGTATTATAGATTATATATCGCCGCAAAAACGGTCACGGTGACAAAAACAATCAGCGATTATGACGAAATTAACCAAGGGAACCGTAACAGACGCAAACCACCCTGCAGTGGCGAGTAGTCCGGCAGTCCTCTCGCCTATACACGGCGGTTAGAGAAACTACAGACTAGTTGGTTTTTTATGTGAACAACACTAGGTAGGAGTGCAGCGGTCCTCTCGAGCCTAATTATCCAATACGGGGAAAATTATATTCAAGACGTTTAGCACCCGACAATGCAAGACATTTTCGAATATTAATGCTGATTTATACGAAGGGACAAGTTTGATTGTAATGTCCCATTAGTTCGGACAACTTAGCTGGCACAGCCATCTTTACCATTAAACTTATTTTGGAAATCCAGCTTTTTTAAGAGAGTAGACTCATCATCGCCATAAGACTTCGCCCCAACCCGAAGTAACTAATCAAATAAATTTATTAACATAAATCACAAAGGCAACAAAACACATTCTCCACTAAACCAACATTCGACATTAACAAACCACGATTGCAGTAAAGATCATTTTGGCAAAGATTGTAAAAAGGAAGGAATTATTAAGGTAGAGTACTGTAACAATTGATGCTGTATCATTAAAGCAAAGGAAACCCAGGAATTGGAAATGCAGAAGCAAATGAAGCAACTTCATCTTTTAGAGATTTGACTTTTGCACATATGTCTTCATCTTTGTATAGCTTATCTTTGAAATCCTTGAAAGGTGCCTTTGGTCCAATAACTTGTTGAATTTCTAATGTTAATTGAATACCCCTGACAAAATCAAAGTATTAAATATACATAACCTGGAATAAGGGTTGGCACAGTAGAAGTAGACAAAGAGTCCTAACTTCGATGTAATAGTGGTATATTAGTAATGATTTACTGAATTTCAAATTAGAGCAACTTTAAGAGAAAAATTTGATTCAAAAACATCTGCATCGATTTGATGCAGTGCACGTTTCTATATCAAGCAGAAGGGGGGATGCATTTTTAATATCTAAAAGACTTGAGTAACACCTTATTTCTTATATTCAATGAAATAATCTTAAGTAGGGAATAAAATTCGATGATCGTATGCATGGCAAGGCTCAGCAATGTATCACATCGTGCTGAGCGTTAGGAATACGCTCGCCGTATGGGTTCACACACAGGTTCGAATCCCATGCAGAAATAATTATGTGCGTGAATATTGCTGGACTCCTCTCCGCCGTAGGGTGGTTCACGTGACCGCCGTTCGGTTGTGGCTTCCTCCACCATCAGGTCCCTGCTTCTGAAAACGAACAACTGGCTAACTAAGCCCTTGCCTGACATCGACTGTCAACCGGATGAGAGGCCGTGGTTTTTCATGATTATTTTCAATGATTACTGATCGAAAACAAACCTGTCTATGAAATCGGCAACTTTATCAAAATCTGCTTCTTTGAATCCTCTTGATGTCAAGGCAGGAGAACCAAGGCGAAGACCGCTGGGTCGTAATGCAGAAGTATCCCCAGGACAAGAGTTTTTGTTGCATGCAACTCCTATTGCTTCCAACACTTTGTCAGCCCTGTTACCATCAGTCCCCTGTAATCATAAAAGTTCAGAATTATGTATGAATTACATATACATAAATATAATTAAAAAAATTATTATTAAAATTAAATAACATTTTTTGATTAAACTTATTTATATTTAAAAGTTTAATTTCGAAACACTTCAGTTTTGAGTCTCGCTTTCACGTAACTGCAATTTAACTAATGTTTAATGGTCGTAGCACCCAAAAACATCAATGGGTATGAAGCCGAAGTCCAGCTCTGACATAAAAGAATGAAGCATAGTTTGAATACACTATGCCTCAGGAGTTGGAAGCCTCTGTTATTTTAAACTAGTTCCTCAGCCCTGCTATCAATCCAGCAAAAATTTTTAAAAGGTGTTCCACATTTTCACTCCAAGTAGAACTCTGTGTGAGCACCGCCTCATACGCAATGACACTACCCAATTTATTACAACCTGGGTGATGTTGTGTGATCCCTAACCACTAGGCCATCGCAGAACACCAATATCACAAATACCTTGCTTTTAAGGTTGACCAACATCAGATGGTTGTCTGTTCCACCAGTGACAACATTATATCCACGATCCACCAGCAACTTTGCCATATGCTGAGCATTTGCAATGGTCTGCAAATTGAAAAGTTAGACTTTGATAAGATTAAATTCCAGCCTATTATGTTCTGCTGTATTACAGCATTAACACATCTTGCCATTAATTCATTACAACCTCAAACTCAAATACATAAATTCTTGTCTTGGGCTTCGATAGCATTACGGGAAACAGCTAAGACACTCGTATTAAACACCTACAGCAAAAATTGATCAAAGCACTGAACTGGAATATAATAGAGACACCAGATAGGTATTTGTATATAAGAGAAAAATATGATATTAATACCATGGATTCACCTGTTTTTGATCTTGTATGAATTTATCAGTCATGGCCTGTTTCAAAGCAACTGCAACACCAGCTATAGCATGATTATGTGGACCTCCTTGCAATCCAGGAAAGACAGCTTCGTTGATTGGTTTTTCAAGATTATACATTTCCTTATTTCCCTTCGGATCAACACTTTTCACTCCTTTGCGACAAAATATCATTCCGGATCGAGGACCTCTGATTGGCAAATTAGGCATGGTTAGCTATTCATTAAGGCTATAAAAACCTGCAATATACCTAAAGTCTATATATAAATATATGTTAATACAAAACAGTTGGAAAATTTTTGAAGGCTAATGCTATTAGACTTACCTAAGAGTTTTATGTGTTGTCGTAGTAACTATATGACAATGTTCAAAAGGTGAAGGTACAATGCCAGCAGCAACCAGTCCACTTATATGAGCCATATCTGCCATAAGATACGCCTTATTCTCATCTGCAATTTCCCTCATTCGTCTGTAAAATGATGAAGCATTGGTATTGAGAAATGTACCTGACATAACATTTTTCTATTGCAAAATATCAGTGAAAAATTTAAAATTTATCAGAAAAAAAAAGATTTAGATTTATCTAAATTTATTAAAACATCATCTTTAAAATGTAAATAGCATAGATATCACTATTTCATTAAAATAAATATTTTGGGCAATTGGCGCTGATATCAAAAATCTTTGCACGTAAGTCGCAAGTGCAATGGCTAAAGACTAAGCCACAACCCTGTGCGATTGATAAGAATTTTTACTTATTTTCAAATTATATATCTGCCAGATCACAAGGTATATGCAGAGCATCTAGCATTATTATATTTTTGTTTTAAATCTATTTCTTGGAGGGGCTGGCCCAGTTAGATGAGTCGTTCATTTCATTTTAAATTGATGCTATGTTTGGGTATAGGAAAATATTACATTAATTAAATTGCCAAGTTACAGAACTCAACTTAGGGTACACTTACAGTGAATTCTGTTAATAGAAACTTTTCAAACTAGAAAAAAATTATCATGCTCTAGTAATACTACTTGACCTACTTATAATCAAGATGTCTTGAGTAGCAACTGACACCAGCGATTATAATCTTTGGTTTGAATAGTTTTGCATTTTCTGCCAACTTGTCATAATCTATCAATCCTGTTTCCTGATTAACCTAAAATGAGAGAAATGAGTTTTCAACTAAGGAAGTACCGTAGGTTATGAGCAAAACAACCAGAGATATATCTCCATTTTGAATATGTTTATACTAGGAAAAAAATCAATAGAATACTCTCGCCAATTTATATTCTCACTATCCAATATCTGAGATTCGAAAAATATTAGAATTTTCAACAGCAAAAAACATGAATTGCAAAACAGTTACTGGGTTACCCACAGTGTTAATTAGATTGAGGTTCTTAGAGTCTATACTATCTGAGCAAAAAATGTTTCAAAAATATATACCGTAGGTCAATATTAGAACTATCGATAAATAAAATTTGATAATAGTCGGACAAATTAATGATCAAATATAAGTAGAAGTGTGAGATTCTTTGATGTTCACACGATGCCATAAATGTATTTTGTAAACAATACCTTATAAGGCATTGATTCAAAAAATATGGAAGTAGCAGAAATCTTCTTCTTTTCAGTAAAGAATCCATGAGTTAAATGGCCCCCATCAGGAAGATCAAGTCCCATAATTCGTCCATGTGGTTGAACAATTGCTACATAAAAAAAAAGGAAAATAATGAATGACGATGACCAATTATACAAATATAATCTCAAGATCATGATTGTATCTATCTAGTTGCAGAAAAAAAAATATTTTATTTCACCTGTATAAACAGCAAAATTTGCTGGTGATCCAGAATATGGCTGTACATTTACTGCCCATTCATCTTTATTCAATTTGAACAATTCTAGTGCTCTTCTTTGACATAATCTTTCCATCTCATCAATATATTCAGCTCCTCCATAGTACCTATTGAAAGAAGTAAAATCAGAGGAGCAGCCTTTAAATTTTTTATGATGATTCCCTTCATTATCATAGAGCTAAAAACAAATATTTTAAAGTTAGATAGTCAAAGAGATTGACCAGAGATGTATGCAAAAAAGGCATATACTAAGCAGTATACCTCACACCTGGATATCCTTCAGAGTATTTGTTATTTAAGCAAGACCCCAGGGCTTGGAGAACAGCAGCACTTGCAAAATTCTCTGATGCAATCAATTCTAGACCACATCTCTGGCGTTCTTTCTCATTTCTGATTATTTGATAAATTTCTTGATCATCATCTTCCAGTGACTGTTGCAACCATTCACCATCACCACCTGCTATTTGTTTATTACCACTCATTATTTGGTAATTTATTCGCAAGATTGAGCAGTATAACTATAAGTGTATGTATGCTGAATGTGCATGTATGCTGAATAATTGAGACAGAATGATGTATTATCTAGTCTAGATATTAAATATGTCATAAACAAAAAATATAACATTGTGGATATTCTAATTTGATACACAGGTTATCACTGTCAGTCTGTCACCCTCACAGCCCACATCAGCTTGTACATTAGTCAGACCCATTATATCCCTAATCCCATTAATTGAAATGAAAAACTTTCAGGCAGGCCTTACCCATTACCCCAAAAGCCTTTCAGGTCTAGTATAGTTTAGTACCACAAGTACTTCCAGTAGGCGTAGCAAAACGAATTTTTCATATGTTATTCCTAACCCCCACCTGACTATGCCACCCGAAAATTCCGTCACTACGACGTCACCATCACATCATAGAGATTGCCAAAGTATAATTACGATCGCCCGAAATGGCATCTGCGCCGCCGATAACGAACTTGCTAAAGCCGGCGATCTCTCTCCTATCGAGATCTTGAAATTGTTTGCTCGATTTCGGGTGATTGTCCGTGCGTTTTGGACGACCATTGGCATATTTCGGTGGGCCTTATTACGCCACTGTGACGTCGGAATGACGAAATTTTTTCGGTGACGTAGTCGGGTGGGGGTTAGGATTGACATATGCAAAAATTGTTGAGGCAGGTCAACTAGAAGTACATGTGGTACTAAACTATACCAGACCCAGTCTTTCCTCGGCTCTTATTGTTGTCAGCTTAGACTACTACACTGACTATACCACAACCCAATCTGAATTCAAAAATTTGGTGCAAAGATTCCTTAACACAGTAACGTAACATCCTGACATCAATTTTAATTCAAGAAAAAAAGTTTTTTTATTCTGTTATTCATCAACTAAACTACTCACATCCTGACATCCTAGACTCGATTAAACATCATTTTACACAAATAGATTTCTCAAATCAACTTAACACAGTAACCAGATACTTGATTAGAACTGAGTACCGGTACCGGTACCGGTACCGTACGGTACATACAGACATACCGGTAATCTATAATCAGAGAGTGAAAGATCTAAAATTAGAAATAAATTCCACAATAAAGCAATACGGCACGTTCATTCGCACCTACAATATATGCGACAAACCTATAAGAATACCCGCACAAACAAACGAAAAAGCTTTAAAAATTAAACAATGATTAATGAGACGAATAAATTAAGTAAACTCTACGTAAATCAACATACTGGTGTACCAACCGTTCTATCACTGCACAGCGCGTGAAGATGGAGCACGATTGACGGCAAAATGATACGCGAGTTAGAATTTGCCGCTTATAAACCTCTACTGTTGTCCACTGAACACTGATTACGAGGCCAAAGGTCATCTTTAAGAAAATGAATAAATGGACCATTCCCCGAGCATCGACTTCCTTGTTTACTTCGTGACATTGGCCAATCAGCAAGATGCAAAAGTGACGTAACAATGCCCCCTTTTTGCACCCGCTCAGACACTTTTCTCACTCAGACAGATTTTCAAGCGTGATTGTAAACATTACCTCGTTTTTGAACTCTATTCGTTAGTTTTCAGTTGTGTTTTGGGAACTTGAATAAAAATCAGATAATTCAATGATCACTCTGTCTTTCTAGGAGTTTTAATTTAATTGCAGTAATAAAAGTTAGTGTAGAAATAGCTGTGATAGACTAGCCTGAAATTCTTTTATGGTACTTTTAAAAAACAGATTGTTGTATGCGATGAATCATAATGATGGTTTGAAACACATACCCCGTTTTGCAGGCGCCAACTCGCAAAAGCACTCTTAAAATAGCCCTGACAATTTTGCAATGGTAAAGTATAGGGAGAATTTCCGAGGGTCAAAGATCGGGGAAAGGTCCATATTTCGATACTCAGTGGCGAATATCTTGGAATACACATTTCGCAAACGACTACTGCTTTAAAAGTCTAACTATATCAAAAAATCAAAACCTAAATCCATCAAATCCTGATTGCACACGAAATGAACCTATCCTCACCATCAACTCTTCTCCGGCGTAGGGTGGTTTGCGTAAGCGCTGGTCGTTTTGGCTTCAACCGCCATGCATCTGAAACAAAAAACTGATTTATTAATCCCATACCCGACATGGAGTGGTAACCATGGATCGACAAACGATTAAGCCGTCTTATCGGTTTTCCCATCCCTCGTGATAAATATGTATGTCATATCCTACCCAAGTCCAGGCATCTAAAAATGACTAACTGGCAAACCAATCACATACTCGACATGGACGATAAGCCATGATACGCCGTATTATCAAACCTTCGAATGAACTTTCCCCTCTCAAGCTATATTACGTGTGGCGTCGCAGTGACGTAATTCTTCGATAACGTTGGGGCCAGGAATGACATATGCAAAAATTGTTACGCCACGCCCACTAGAAGTACTTGTAGTAAAAAAAAAAAACTGACCACATTAAGATAGCTATTCCATAATTCCAGATTTGTTCAGGATATGATTTTGGGAAAATTGGGGTTAAAATATTCCATTTTGAATTTCGTGTCCAATTATTTGAGCATTGTTTTCTTATTATCGGATGCTTTGATTCTAATCGGATTTCCTTCCCGATTAAAATTGTATGTTTTTCTTTGTCTAGTATTTTAATGAGCTATCGTTATTTTATTGACTGAAAAAACTTGTTTTCATGGCCGAGCAAATGAAAAATGGTGATAAATGTGCTGAGATCAGAATGAAGTCCGGTTATAAAAATATGAAAACAAAAAAGTGATCCGTGGTCGTGTTCAAAGTATATGTATAAAGTTCAAAATGGAAATATAATTAAGGGTGAAATGAAGATAAAAAGCGCGATACAGATTAAGTTAAGGAGCAGAGTCCGTAAAGGAAAAAGGAGCCAAGCCGTTGTTGAAGTTAGAAATGGCAACTTGGCGTCTCATTTGACGGCAGTTACAGAAAATGTAGATGGTAGATGTCGGGTGCTCACGCCGGATGTTAGAGGCGGTCAAATTCTCTTGGGGGGATCCTTGAAGTTGTATACATCCACTTGTTGTCGTGTTCACAAAACTCACAAGAACAGAGGTCTTTATCTCTAACGTCTCATGCTAAATTAAATATATTTCAGAGATAGCCATGTCGCAGAGATATAGGGGTCGGATCTTAACATGAGATTTTCATATTCCCTGGGGAGAAAAAAGTAATAAGACGGCTTAATCATATGTCATTCTATTCTCGTGGCAGTTTCTAGCCATAACTCAGATCATACAGCCATTGATATTAGTTACCACCTAATTCGATCATGTAACAAAAATTTACCATTTTTTTCACGAAATTGGCATTATTAGAACCTCAAAAAGTTCAAAAAATTGCAGGATGTTCCAAAATTTAGTGATTTATATAAGTTTTCATATTGGTCTACTATTTAAGGATATATTCTACCTTTAACCCCGGGAATATAAGAGTTCGAAATAATACAATTATCTTTCAAATAAATTCAATTTAAAAAAAAATTGACAATATTCGTACGACAGAAAAATAGCATGATGTCACCACAACTATTAATTACCATAAGATTTTATAATAGTCTCCTATTCAATGGTAAATTCAATTCTGATGTAATATATATACGCAAAATTGCAACAATGAGAGCAATTAAATTCATCTTCGTTAACAATATTCATGAGAGGATATTTCTCATTATAACAAGCTACGATGTTGTTATTATCAGCCGCAGACAGAAAATACCAGACAACTCCGAAAAACCATCAGAGAGGTTGTTTTCATACTTGGTGATTGCCTACCAGCACTTCTGTAGTTCTATTTACATCCAAATACAAATAGTAAGCCGTAAAAAAATTGCTCAAAACTGCAAACTCCACATCCATGTAGAAATGATGGGCAATGACCACAAGATGAATAATCACAAATAAAAAACACGCGTTTGAATGAATGAAAAAGCTGAAACTAGTATTCTTTAGAACAGAATACAAATTCTATGAGATGAAAACATACACAAAATCCCGTCATAAACCTATAGGTATAGGACTATAGGTCAATAAACAAGTGGAATTTGATGCATGTGCGCAAAAATGTGCGCGTTACCAGCACGTACAACCGAAGCACTCAGTAAAATGTGTGTGATGTACTAGTGATCAAAATGTTTGACTCAACTATGTTGGCATACCAGGTGCACATCTCGGTTTTGGGGGTTGTATCATAGATAGCAATTTTCCGTAGCTTGAAATGCTTTTTATACCCTCAAGACTACTAAAAACATGCGTATTCCAGCGTTCGATCGGACCCGTTAGCTGTTTCAATCTAACTTGGCAAAAAAATTTCAGAACCCCCCCTTTGAAAATTTCTGACTACGCCCCTGCTCCACAACCACCTCGGTATTATTATTTATCGATCTTGATCGGTAAGTATGTTGTTAGGTTGTTTGTTTGTCTGTTAGATACCGCCGATAACTCACGAAAGCGAGGTTGAATCTGCACCAAATTTTGCATGTGCATTCATCATTCATCTCGGAACAGGAGCCTATTGATTTTGGATGAATTATGTTGTATAATTAGTTAATATTAGTTATTAATTAATTAGTGATAGGACACGCGGTGTCGCTATGAAGTAATAACTTTCGATCGATAAGGCTTCGGTCTCTGACCGATATTCTCGGTATTACTTATCGATTTTAATCGGTAAGTATGTTAATAAGTATTTGTCTGTCTGTCTGTATGTCTGTTAGATGCACGCGATATCTCCAGATTTTGCATGTGCATTCATCATATCTGATATGTGCATTAGGCGGGACAGTCCCGCTTTTTAGCGTCTTGTCCCGCCGTCTCGACAAGTCAGCCAAAAGTCCCGCTTTTGCGTTCAGCCATCCAGCATAATACAAGAACATGTTCTCGTTACTATTGTTGCAGCGTAGCACAACGCTGGCCTACCTACTGAAGGTGAATGCGTTATATTTTCGAAAAGTAAAATGAGCTATAGAATTGTCTGCGCATGGAGGCATTTGGGCTGAATTCCAGACATGTCGTCCTGATCCGTGAAGTAAAAAAACAA